TTATGGCTGAACAGGTCAAGACATTTCTGATTCTTATTGTATGGAGTGGATTTTCCATTGCGTTGCCTGCCACATTTATTCACTGCTTCCACAACCAGGGAGTTAGGTACAGGATAAGTAAATAAAAATTCAAAGTCCTTAGCTGGGATGTAATATTTTTTTTATTGGCATGTTTGTTGGTTGTATCGTTGCTTCAGTCTGCCAGATCGTCATGGTAGGGTCCAACAGGGCCACACTGATTGGCAGCTGGAGCAGAGGGTGTCTATTAAAGAATATCCAGGAGCTTATGTTGTGACTTTCTACTCTCCTCTAAGGGGATCTGTAAGGAGTCTGCAATGTGTTCATTCTGGAACTGTCTGAAATCATCAACCAGAGAAGGTCAGTGAGGCATAATCACCTCATCTGGAGAAGATGAGGAAATATTCCTCTATGGAGTAGCCTCCTTATCTGCTCTGGCCTCCTGCTCACCAAACCATTCCTGTACTTGAGGTATAGATGGAGTTGGGGAATATCTTCTTCTGTGGTCCCCTCAAAAAAGATTAAGGACTTGAGAGAATTGTTGTCAATATGCAGCCCAAGGATCCCAGTGTGGCCACTGAGGTAGTCCATAAGGCATCAGACATGGCATCCATTGGTGCTTGAACCAGTTTGTTTTTTTTTGCGGGGAGGGAATTGCGGGGGAGTAGGAGCTCATCTTGGATGTAACTCCTCTCCTCTCAGAAGTATCAGGAAGAAAGTCCCTTGGCTCATGAATAGGGGGACTGTGCTGAGATTTGAGAGTTGGAGAACTCCTCGTCATCCAAAGGGAGAGCTCTACCAAGTTCAGAACATGGTGGAGAATCAAATGGTACTGGGAAAAAGTCCAATCTTGGTGACCGTCTCTCTCTCTTGATATGGTAAAACATTCGGTACCCACTAGCAGGGAAGACTCCAGCCAATCTGAAATGCAGAAGTCCCTAGAGTATCTGAATTCCTATATCAGGTGGGCTTGAGATCACACGTGGTAAGGTTCTGCCATTAGTACCGAGAGCATAGACTGCTCCAGCAAGTCTCTCCTGACAGAAGTGGAGGGTGATGATCTAGAACAGAGGTGGGCAAACTACGGCCCGTGGGCCACATCCGGCCTGCGGGACCCTCCTGCCCGGCCCCTGAGCTCCTGACCCGGCCAGCTCACCCCCGGCCCTTCCCCCGCTGTCCCCTCCCTCTGCAGCCTGGCACAATGCTCTGAGTGGCGCGGCTGCAAGCTCCTGAGGCAGCGCAGCTGCAGAGCCCGGCCTGACCTGGTGCTCTGTGGTGCGTGGCTGGCTCCAGCCGGGCAGCGTGTCTGCCTGTCCTGGTGCTCTGGGCCTCGCAGCTATAGTGCCGTCAGCCACCAGTGCTCCAGGCAGTGTGGTAAGGGGGCAGGGAGCAGGGGGGGTGGTGGATAGAGAGCAGGTGAGTTGGGGGGGGTGGTCAGAGGGCAGGGAACAGGGGGGATGGATGGGGGAGGGGTTCCGGGGGAGCCAGTCAGGAAGGAGAGGAGGGATTAGGAAGCAGGGGGCAGTCAGGAAACAGGGGGGTTGGATAGGGCAGGAGTCCCGGGGCGGGGCCATCAGGGGGCGAGAAACAGGGGGGCAGGGGCTGGGCCACGCCTGGCTGTTTGGGGAGGCACAGCCTCCCCTAACCAGCCCTCCATACAATTTCCGAAACCCGATGCAGCCCTCAGGCCAATAAGTTTGCCTGCCCCTGGTCTAGAATACTTAGCCCTGCCTCGGTGCAGGAGACTGGATTAGGTAACCTACTGATGTCTCTGAGTCCTACATTTCTATGATTCTACTGATGAGGATGTCTTGGAAAGAGCCAAGATCACATGAGAAGCATGGTGTCTTGCTGGTACTGAGGGTGTCTTGGTGGTTGGCTTAGGTACAGAGGGTACTAAAGGAGTTGTAGGTACTGCCCCCTTAGAAGTGGAGTTCTTAGACTCCCTTGCTGCAGTGTTCTGTTTCTGGGGTACAGAGGGTCTTGGTACAGAAGCATGTCTGGTGCCCTTGTTCTTAGAGCAGCTCGGCTCCCTGGGCACCGGGTCAGTACCAATGGAGCCTGGAGCCTCAACTGTACCCATAGCAGGATGTGAGGTCTCCAATGCAGTCTTATTTTGAAGAGATGGAGACTTCTTGGAGGTAGATGGTTTATGAGGAGAACGAGTCCTCTTTCTATGAGTCGTCTCTGAGGATCTTTCCCAAGTAGATCCAGGTGAGCATACTGAAGTTGATGGGGCCCTATGCTCCCTCAGAAACCATTGCCCAGGGGTGGTTTCCTGGTCTGGATCCGCAACCAGATGGAGAGAATGCTTCATCGTTAAAAGACTATGTTGTATTTCTTAATTCTTTCCAGCCCTGCTTTTGAATGCTGAGCAGATGGAACACTTGAAATATATCTCCCCCCGCAACAAGCAGAAGATATACTGGGAATACCCATCACTGACCAGGATAGCTTTCTGCCAAGAGAGGGAACTTTTGAAGCCTGGAGACCCTGGAACAACGGGGACCTTGAAAGGAAAGTGCTTCTGTAAGAGGAAAAGAGATTGTAAAACAAACTGTTTTATTTAATTTATTTTATAGAACAAAGAAGAGGATAATTAAACTAAAAGAAAGGCCATAGAGAAGGAACTGAGAGCAGTTTGTCCATGCAGCTCTATACATAGATTCATAGACTTTGAGGTCAGAAGGGACTATCGTGATCATCTAGTCTGACCTCATGCACATTGCAGGCCACAGAACCTCCCGCACCCGCTCCTATAATGGACACACACCCCCACCCCCATCTCTGGCTGAGTTACTCAAATTTTCAAATCATGATTTAAAGACTTCAAAGTTACAGAGAATCCACCATTTACACTAGTTTAAACCTGCAAGTGACTCATGTCCCATGCTGCAGAGGAAGGTGAAAAACCTCCAGGGTCTCCCCCTAGGTCAGTTTGGCAGAAATTCCTTCCCGACCCCAAATATGGCGATCAGTTAGAGCTGAGCATGTGGGCAAGTCCCATGAGCCAGACATCTAGAAAATAATTCTCTCTGTAGTAACTCAGAACCCTCTCCATCTAGTGTCCCATCTCCAGCCATTGGAGATACTGGTTGCTAGCAGTCACAGATCAGCTACATGCCACTGTAGGCAGTCTCATCATACCATCCCCTCCATAAATTTATCAAGTTCAGTTTTGCAGGGCACAAGGATGTGTAGGACGTGTGCACAGGTCAAACAGACACTGTTACTAAAAGTCTCCACTCAAAGGTACACAAGGTACAAGCACACCTGAAATGGTGTGCCCATAGGGTCATTACTTGACAAAGAACGAGAAAGTTTTCAGACTTTTCCCTTTTTCTTGGTCAAAAAATTTCAACTAGACTTTTTCACCACAGGTTCCAAAAAACAGCCTCAGCTGAAATAAGTGTGAGGAGACCAGCGTTCTAGAACCATTTGCCACTGACTCACTGTATGACCTTGAGCAGCAGCAAATAACTTAACGCCACTGTGCCTCCATCTCCTTGTCTGGAACTTGGGGGAAATGATTCTTACCCACCTTTTGTAAAGCATTTTGAAATCTTCAGCTGAAGACCACCATGAAAGTGCTAGGTATTTTTCATTAAAAATCCGTTATTTTTAGATATTTACAATCGGGATTAGGGTTTAGGGTGTGGGAAACGGTATTAAAAAAAAAAAACAGTGCCTGCCCCAAAGGGTTTACAATTTAAAGATGTAAATAGATCAGGGATGAGAATAATACACACAAGCACAAGAATGGTGAAGAATTGTCTCAGCTGTGTATTGTATTTTTTGTTCCGGTTATGGGCAGGGAGTAGGCAAATAGGGGAAAGAGAAATAGTCACAGCTTCTCACTTGGCTAGCCATTATCAGCAGGCTGGGTTTTGTTGGCATGATAGAGGTGAGTGTTAAGGGGCTGGAAGATAAGATTGTAGCCATTTAAAATTTTATCAGGAAGTTTATATAACCACTTCTCAAACCTTAAAGCAGTTTATTTAGCTCATAACGACAGAAACCATGAAGTAATTGATTTAAAAATATTTTATTACTTATTGTTGTGATTCTGTAGATCGGGGTGGCCAAACTACGGCCCGCAAGCCGGATCCGCGGCCAATGGGAGCTGCAGGGGAGGTACCTGGAGATGTGGCAAGGGCAGTGCATGGAGCCCTGTGCCCCCCCCCTTCCCCAGGGGCCGTGCAGGGACGTAGGTCTGGCTGCTTCCCGGAGTGGCGTGGCGAGGGGCCAGGGCAGGCAGGGAGCCTGCCCCGGCGCATGCCGCTGCCACCCCGGCACCGCTTTAGGTAAGTGGCAGTGCTGGGCTGGAGCCCGAACCCCTCTTGCACCCCACCCCCCAACTCCCTGCCTGCACCTCGCACCCCTCCTGTACCCCAACCCCCTGCTCTGAGCTCCCTGCTGCACTCCCGTACACCCCAACTCCCTGCCCTGAGCCCCCGCCGCACCCTGCACACCCGTGCATCCCAACCCCCTGCCCTGAGCACCCTGCCACACCCTGCACCGCTTCTGTACCCCAACCCCCTGCCCTGAGCTCCCTGCTGCACTCCTGTGCACCCCAACCCCCTGCCCTGAGCCCCCTGCCACACCCCTGTGCACCCCAACCCCCTGCCCTGAGCCCCCTGCCACACCCCGCACTGTTCCTGCACTCCAACCCCTGCGCCCTGAGCTCCCTCCTGCAGTCCGCACCTCTCCTACACCCCTGCCTTGAGCCCCCTCCTGCACTCCGCACCCCTCCTGCGCCTCAACCCCCTTCCCTGAGTCCCCTTATACCCCTCCTCTGCCCCAATCCCTTGCCCTGAGCCCGTTCCTGCACACTGCACCCCCTCCCACATCCCACACCCCAACCCCCTGCTCCGGCCCTGCATACAATTTCCCCACCCAGATTTGGCCCTCGGCCCAAAAAATTTGCCCACCACTGCTATAGCTACGTCAATATACAACAGGTGAGATCATTGACAACTATAGAGATGAAAACAGCATTGCAATTAAATTTTACTGATTTAGAAGTATAATGTGACCACTGTTAAAAATGTTGAACACTGGAAACTCCAGTTTATTTTTCCTTTCCTGTCAATCCCCATTCCCAAAGTAATGAAATATTGGTCCTTAACTTGAGTAAACTGGCAACTTTCTTATTTTAAAATTCATGACTTAAAAGAAGTTGGTCATAAATGTGATTGAAACCAATTTCAATTAGATTTTTAAAAAGCAAAAATACCCCTTGTAGCAGTCTTTCACCCCCTTTTGAAACTGCTAAAATAGGAACAATTGCATACTGGACCCATAAAGGGATTTAGTTTTTCAATTACTGTTGCTCCCAAACCAAAACTATCTGTGTCACCACAATATCTTGCAAAGGGGCAGATGCTCCTCTTTGCTGGTTTGCACATACTTATGTCTGATACAAGAGAAATAACCACACCAACAAAGGCTCAAGTTAAGCTGCCATGGCGTAGGTCAGTTATCTGACAATTCAATGGTTATGGTACACATGTATACATTTGTGATAAATGAAGTGTGGGGGAGGGGCGGGGGGGGCGGTAGCTCCCTTTGATGGACACCCAGTCAGCCACTTGGCTGTAAAATTCCTCTTGGTAGCTGTTCTCTACTTGCTTAACTTGTAAAAGGTTAAAAAGTCCCCCAGGTAAAGGAAAGGGAGTGGGCACCTGACCAAAAGAGCCAATGGGAAGGCTAGAACTTTTAAAATTGGGGGGAAAAAACTTAGGACTCTGCTCACACCTGTTGCACAGCGACAGGGGAGCAAGACTGTGGCAGAGAAACAGAAGGGCTACAAAGAGAGAAAGATGGCAATGCTCTGTTCCCACTGAAGTCAATGGTAGAATTTCCATTGGTTTCAATGGGAGCAGCCTTCTGAAGATCTCATTGTTAGTGTTCAATCTGGGAATTGAACTTCATCAAGCCAATAAATCAAAGTGTGACTTACACTGTAACCAGATCCAGTCAAAACAGAAAGTGCAATGTGCAAATCTATTAACCCTTTCTCTAAAAGGGCCACTCAGCAATAAATTTTCAGCTTAACATTGGAAATTCAGGTGGGATTTACCAAATACACAGGGCAACACTGAAGGTATTTTGTACCCCATATAGCTGGCAGATATGAAAATGGTGCAAAGAATGCCCAACATAAAAGTGGAAGAACAAAGATCAGTCAGAGCAAGAATTTATAGTGACGCTGTCAAGAGCTGTAGGATCAAAATTTGACTCTCTCCCCCACCTTAGCCGTTTGTGAAGTCCATGTAATTGTGTGTGTTCCTACCCCTCAAAACAAATATATTCCTTAATATAAACAGAAGCCGGGTCCCATAAGCAGCAGTGAAGTACTAAAACAGAGTGAGCACATGACAGGAGGAGAAAACATTTAGCTCACTGGTTTGAGCATTGGCCTGCTAAACTCAGGGTTGTGAGTTCAATCCTTGAGGGGGCCATTTAGGAATCTGGGGCAAAAATTGGGGATTGGTCCTGCTTTGAGCAGGGGGTTGGACTAGATGACCTCCTGAGGTCCCTTCCAACCCTGATATTCTATGATTCTATGATCTATGAACTGTAAATGTAAGGAAACATTCCAATGAGTTATTGCAAATTTGTTGTTGCTGCTGAAGAAGAAACTACCTACAACTGGTGCTGGCTATTTGTATTATTTAGAAGCCATTCTGTAAACATTGTGGATGATTGATTAACATGCTGGTTGATTAACATCAGTGCCGACACATCCAATAAATATTCTGATAATTCTGCAGGCTTTTTAGGTTGTGCTTTCTGGACTGATCTAGTGGTTTTAGGACATCCCCTTTAGATTCCTGATTAGGACTTTGGAAGAGGTATCCCCAGATTACTTCAATCAAAGAAGCACAATATGAAACATCTTTGGTTGTTCCAAATACCCAATACAACCTTGGAACAACCAAAGAAAACGCTGTTCCCAAACAATCCTTCCCAGGTTTCACACTGTACTCTGGATAGTAAGAAAGGACTTTGGGAACTGAATCAGTACTGTATGAATAATCATGCAGTGCAGACAGACAATTAATAAAGCTAATAATTTAAGTACTTCTGTAGTGAGTCTTGTAGTTTTGATTTAAGGAGCACCCTAGTAATCTGAGACAAATTACAAGGTTAAGAGGAACCATCCCTACAGGAAGATATAAAAGTGGTCAGAATTAGTCCATTCCTCCTCACAGTCATCTGTCTTCATGGCCAAGCAACTGAGATCACATATGGGAACAGGAACCATACAGTTTGCATGTAGCTACATTTTATAGCTCTGATAGAGAATGACTTGGTTATGCTGCAGCAAAACACTATCTATCTCTCTCTCTCTCTCACGGGGCTCCTCTCCACCAATTGTGCTACGTTTCTGAAGGACAAACGAAAGACAGGAATGCGTCTATCTGATTCTTAACAATGATGTCCTGTGGGTGCAAGTTGTGTGGCAAGTAATGGGCCAGAGACATCTCCCAGGCATCCACAAAGAACACAGCAATCCCTGAGAACATCTTCCTCATGACTGTGTCAAGCTGAAAGGAATACCAGTCACTGTTGAAGAGACTCACTTCTGGGCCAAGCTCCTGAACATTGGCTGTTCTGATGACCACTAGAGTTTTGGGGCTGCGATCGAGCAGCTGAATTATGGACCTGCGAATGTTCCTCAGTCTCCGGATGTACACCTCCACAGGGAAGGTGCTGAAGTGGGACCATACGGTGATGGCTATCACGGTGTTTCTTCCGCCTACAATGCCATTCAGCTCATTGGCAATATAGCGTAGCTCGCTACTGAAGACAGTGGTAAAGCGAATGGGTGGCCCATGACAGCGGAACTTCAGCAGGACATTGTGCTTCAGGTCCACGGACAGGAAGGGACCTACGTTTTTAGGACTCCCAAGGTTAAATTCCACTAGATCTGAAACACAAGAAGAAGAAAGGTTTCCTCACTTGCCATCTGTTACTATCCATAAATAATTTGGACAGTATGAAAGTTCTGGTGCTAGAAAAGAGTGTTTGAATAGAATACTAAATGCAGTTAAAAAACACAGATGAATAAGCACATGGTACACTTTCTGAACTCCGATGTTTTGCGACCTGAGCACCGAAACATATACCCACTAAGATTGGCATCTCTCTAAAGCTGAAATGCTATCAATGAAAAGCTATATCTTTGATTGACTTCAGATAAATTGTTTTTCCCCCACCACCTTACAAATAAAGGGATTTTCTGAGCAGATTCTTTCCATCATAAATACCCTGCCGTATAAAGTGCCAGCAGAAAGCCTTCTCTGCCAACTTTTAACCTCCATTTAATTTAATTATCACTTCAGGAGCTACGTCAACTGTATTAAAATGATTTCCACCCTTTATCTAAATAAAATTGATTCCTTTATGCAGTTATGATGGTTAATTCAATTACTGGCTGTTAAATTATGCCATCTAATAAGGAAGGTCAAAATTCTGAGTGAAATGAAAGAAGTAAGAGTCCAACACTGACCCACAATAATTGAAAAAGTTACATTACTGGGACATTGCAATTGCTACCATGTCTTATAGAAGCTACATCATGCCCCCTGGTGGTTGTATATTAACATGCTCGCTTATTTCAAAGTAATAGAAATGGTCTTTATAGATGTAAGCAGAACACACTCCATGGTGCTGGTTTTGAGGGTGTATTGCAGGAGTAGGCAAACTTTTTGGCCCGAGGGCCACATCCCCAAAAAGCCTGGCCCCGCCCCTATCCGCCCCCTCCCACTTCCCGCCGCCTGCCTGCCCCGCTCAAAACCCCGACCCATGCAACCTCCCCTGCTCCTTGTCCCCTGACCGCCCCCTCCTGGGACCCCCACCCCTAACCACCCCATCTAACCCTTCCCGCTCCCTGTCCCCTGACTGCCTCCCCCCAGAACCTCTTCCCCATCCAACCAACCCCTGTTCTCCGTCCCCTGACCACCACCCCCACCTCCGCCCCATCCAACCACCCCATCCCTTGACTGCCCCCCCGGTACCTCCTGCCCCTTATTCAAACCCCTGGCCCCCTTACCATGCCACTCAAAGCAACATATCTGGCTGTTGCACTGCCCGGCCGGAGCCAGACACGCTGCTGCGCTGCTCTGCATGACAGCGGGGGAGGGGCCGGGGGCTAGCCTCCTGGGCCAGAAGCTCCGGGGCTGGGCAGGCACATCTGGCCCGCAGGTCATAGTTTGTCCACCTCTGGTGTATTGCATATATATTTGTTCATTTGGATTTGGTCCCATATATTTCCAATCTTTACTAAGGAATTTGGATGACTCATCCTATCAATGACTATTTATTGAAAATCCATTTGCCCTCCATCCCTCTTTATTTCTTCCATTATTTTGATATTAGGATATAAAATCACTATGGAGTGAGAGACGTAAAGACTTTTTGAAAGCAATCGGCACAAAGCAAGAAAATAACCAACCTGGAACAAATGTGGTCAGATATTCAAACCACTGTCTTATTGTAGAATCTCCAAACAAGTGGACTACTTTTCCTTGTAAGCATTTGCTTATATCAGCTGTCTTGTTAAAATGACGGATCCAACGTGTTCTTGGCCTCCACTCGTCTTGGTAATAGTAACCCAAAGGGAAAATATCTGGGCCTTGAGATCTGTCCAGATTTGCTGATTCTGGAAGAAGAAAATGATTCCAAATTAATACACAATTATAAAAATAATCTCGATAATTTTCATGGAAGTATATCCAACCAAGCAAAAGCATCAACCCTTATCCTAACGCAAAGCAGCATGACAAAACAAACTGATTAAACACCCCAATCTAACACATTTTTTCCTCCTTCTACAACAAAAGACAGTTACAGACATCTCTACCAGCTTCACCAACAGTTAAGGTTACTTAAGCATACTTCACGTTAAAAGGCCCCATTGTAAATTTCTTGTAACTTTGCCCTCCTTTAACGGTTCAGGGTGAAACGTTCCATGCAAGCTGTCTGCCTGAGGCTGGATTTTTTTTTTTTTTAAATGTTTCAGCAAAAATGGTTTAGCTATTTCTGAGACCAAGATTAGGGAAGAATAGTTTCTCCCAGGTTTAAAAAAAAATAAAAAAATCTTACAATCATTTAGTTGATAAGCTCTAGAATCTCCACGCCTTAGAGAAAGGAACTGAAATCTGGATGAGCGGAGGTTATCTTTGTCAGGGATGTGCCATGAAAAATCATCAGACCAAAATTGGCCAAGTTATAAGCCTTTGAAAAAATCTCAAATTTGCACATGTGCAGTAGAGACTTGTTTGAGTTTGGCAGCTAAATTCTCCTAAGATACCATTCCTCGCTGAGCATGCCCCATCCCGGGGCTGCAGGGATGGAGCTGCAATTGCTCCTCCCAGCTGTTGTGGATTGCTGTGGTACCAAGCATCAGAACCGAGGGCAGGAACCTGTCTCTCCTGTGGTCTCAGAGGTCCACCTGCTGGCTCCCAGTTAGCATGGAGAAGGAAGCAGCCTAACTCAAAAACAAAGACGACGGGGAGACTGGGACAAGGAGCTGCTAGGATGGGGAAGGAGCGACAGATTGGAACTGGCTGGGCAAGGCGCCTGGGACTGGGGCAAGGAGAGACTGAAGGGAACAGGAGCAAACAGGGTCAAGGTTGGAGGGGGGGGAAAACAAGGGCAGAAAGGTCTGTGCCCACTACAGCACACTTCCCTCCAGAGTGGAAAGAACAAAAGATTCCCTTGTCTCACCATTTCTCCGCGGTTAGCAAACACCTGTGAAACCCACTGGGCAAAGTCTCTCTCTCTCTCATCCCCCTCTAGTGGCTGGCAGGGACACAGCTAAGGAGCAGGCCCAGATTACTGGCCAGCCACACCAAATTTGAGAGGTGCTGTAACCTGGTATATGAGGTCTCAGATTGGATCACAAATTCATTCCAATTGCCTTTCACCTCAAAGCACCTTCATGGCTGGCCCATATAAAGGATGACAACCTAATATTGCTGTCAGTTACTCCATTAGCTTAAGTGGCAGAGGTCACTTCTGCAGTGGACAGAAGGTTCCAACCCTTGAGGACCCATGTGGGTGTCAATATTATGCCACATGATAGTACTGTTTTTTCAGTTTGTTTTTTCCAAAAAACTAGGAAGTTACATATAAAAACTGTTAAAACAACATTTAAGTTGCAAAGTCAAGCACTCAAAAGTTAGGAAATACCAAAGGTAAAGTTGCCCATGCGACCTTAAAGTTGCAAGGGCAATGTTAATTCAGCCCTCATGTATGCATGCATTATGTTGCAGTCTTTAATTACATGATCACATAGTATTCTTTCCACAGGACCCCTGCCTCAGTCCGCACACAAGATGAACTATACTTCCAGATGAATCAAGATTGTGTAGTGAAGGAAGATGTTGTCTATAGGATCCATCTCATATCTAGGCCCCTAGGTGTCACTGAATACTGACAAACATATAGGTGGAAACCAATCTGGTTTACCTGTGTGAGAGTGTGGGATGCTGCATGTATTGCAATTAATTGTAATATCTGCATGTTATGAAGTAACATTGAAATGTTGGCTCTAGAACTATAAAAATGTTTGCTAAGGCTTTGTCTACACCGAAACTTAGTCGGCAAAACTTTTGTTGTTCAGGTGTGCTAAAAAACAACCCCCCCCCAAACAACAAAAGTGTTACTCATGAAAAGTGCTGGTGTGAACAGCACTTTGTCAGCAAGAGTGCTCTCCTGCCGACAAAGCTGCTGCCGCTCGTTGGGGATGGCATTTTGTCGTCGGCAGGAGAGCTCTCTCCTGCCGACAAACAGCGGCTACACTGCACGTCATTTAGCAGCATGGCTAGCAGCACAGTCCTGTCACTAAAAGCTGCATAGTGTAGACATAGCCTAAGACTATAAAATTAGTCAGAGGAGGAGCATTACCAAGTTTGAAATTCTAGTTCACCACAAGAGGAGTTATCTTCTCCCTGACAAAAGATGGTCTACAGACATCAGCCAAACATTGTGGACAAACGACTTTGCAGCTTGCTTCCCCACACCCCTGAAGAGGGTACATGCAACAAGCCCACATCCCATCACAGCTTGAATGCTGGAGGAAGGAAATAAAAATGCCTGTTAAGGAGAAATTGTTATTCCTAAGCTGCTTGAACTCTGAGGGGTGAGGATTTCTAAGCTTAAGCAAGGAGTCCCCAAGTGTTTAGCTTGGGTTAGCCCAAAAGGACACAGAGACTTTGCTTATGAGAGAAGTTTCTATTATCTTTTGAAATCTAAGATTAAGTCATTTGTGTGCGTAAATTTATCTGCTTTAATCTTGTAAATAACTCTTATATGCTTTTCCCAAGTAATAAGCCTTTGGTGAGTTTATTACAGGGGTGGCTACAAGTGTTGTCCTTGGCTTACAATCTAAATACAGCTGAGCTTGGGTAAACGACTGGTCCTTTCGGACTAGGAGTAACCAGATTACTGATTTGATTTTTGGTGTAAGCAACCAATAATCACAAAATTCCAGCTTGCCTGTGTGCCAAGATAGACAGTCTCACCTAAGTGATTGTTCTGGTTACAGTGTGTATGGTAACACGCATTGTTTTATGTTCTCTATGTATATAAATCTCCCCACTGTATTTTCCACTGAATGCATCCGATGAAGTGAGCTGTAGCTCATGAAAACTTATGCTCAAATAAATTGGTTAGTCTCTAAGGTGCCACAAGTACTCCTGTTCTTTTTGCAAATACAGTCTAAAACGGCTGCTACTCTGAAACCATGGTAGGACTGTTATACTGCTTTAAGAAAAGGAGTACTTGTGGCACCTTAGAGACTAACCAATTTATTTGAGCATAAGCTTTCGTGAGCTACAGCTCACTTCATCAGATGCATTCAGTGGAAAATACAGTGGGGAGATTTATATACATAGAGAACATGAAACAATGGGTGTTACCATACAGACGGTAACGAGAGTGATCACTTAAGGTGAGACATTACCAGCAGGAGAGCAGGGAGGGGAGAGGGGGAACCTTTTGTAGTGACAATCAAGGTGGGCCATTTCCAGCAGTTGACAAGAACGTCTGAGGAGTGGAGAGGGGGGGAATAAACATGGGGAAATAGTTTTACTTTGTGTAATGATCCATCCACTCCCAGTCTCTATTCAAGCCTAAGTTAATTGTATCCAGTTTGCAAATTAATTCCAATTCAGCAGACTCTCGTTGGAGTCTGTTTTTGAAGTTTTTTTGTTGAAGATTTGCAACCTTTAGGTCTGTAATCGAGTGACCAAAGAGATTGAAGTGTTCTCCGACTGGTTTTTGAATGTTATAATTCTTGACGTCTGATTTGTGTCCATTCATTCTTTTATGTAGAGACTGTCCAGTTTGACCAATGTACATGGCAGATGGGCATTGCTGGCACATGATGGCCTATATCTCATTGGTAGATGTGCAGGTGAATGAGCCTCTGATAGTGTGGCTGATGTGATTAGGCCCTATGATGGTGTCCCCTGAATAGGTATGTGGGCACAGTTGGCAACGGGCTTTGTTGCAAGGATAGGTTCCTGGGTTAGTGGTTTTGTTGTGTGGTGTGTGGTTGCCAGTGAGTATTTGCTTCAGGTTGGGGGCTGTCTGTAAGCAAGTACTGGCCTGTCTCCCAAGATCTGTGAGAGTGATGGGTCGTCCTTCAGGATAGGTTGGATGATGCATTGGAGAGGTTTTAGTTGGTGGCTGAACTTTGTGACTTTGTCCTCACCCATAACTATTTCACATTTGCGGACAATGTATACCCTCAAATCAGCGGCACTGCTATGGGTATCCGCATGGCCCCACAGTATGCCAACACTTTTATGGCTGACTTAGAACAACACTTCCTCAGCTCTCGTCCCCTAATGCCCCTACTCTACTTGCGCTACATTGATGACTTCTTCATCATCTGGACCCATGGAAAAGAAGACCTTGAGGAATTCCACCATGATTTCAACAATTTCCATCCCACCATCAACCTCATCCTGGACCAGTCCACACAAGAGATCCACTTCCTGGACACTACCGTGCTAATAAGCGATGGTCACATAAACACCACCCTATACCAGAAACCTACTGACTGCTATTCCTACCTACTTGCCTCCAGCTTTCATCCAGACAACACCACACGATCCATTGTCTACAGCCAAGCTCTACGATACAACCGCATTTGCTCCAACCCCTCAGACAGAGACAAACACCTACAAGATCTCTATCAAGAGTTCTTACAACTACAGTACCCACCTGCTGAAGTGAAGAAACAGATTGACAGAGCCAGAAGAGTACCCAGTAGTCACCTACTACAGGACAGGCCCAACAAAGAATATAACAGAACGCCACTAGCCATCACCTTCAGCCCCCAACTAAAACCTCTCCAACGCATCATCAAGGATCTACAACCTATCCTGAAGGACGACCCATCACTCTCACAGATCTTGGAAGACAGGCCAGTCCTTGCTTACAGACAGCCCCCCAACCTGAAGCAAATACTCACTGGCAATCACACACCACACAACAGAACCACTAACCCAGGAACCTATCCTTGCAACAAAGCCCGTTGCCAACTGTGCCCACATATCTATTCAGGGGACACCATCACAGGGCCTAATCACATGAGCCACACTATCAGAGGCTCGTTCACCTGCACATCTACCAATGAGATATAGGCCATCATGTGCCAGCAATGCCCCTCTGCCATGTACATTGGTCAAACCGGACAGTCTCTACGTAAAAGAATAAATGGACACAAATCAGACGTCAAGAATTATAACATTCAAAAACCAGTTGGAGAACACTTCAATCTCTTTGGTCACTCGATTACAGACCTAAAGGTTGCAAATCTTCAACAAAAAAACTTCAAAAACAGACTCCAACGAGAGTCTGCTGAATTGGAATTAATTTGCAAACTGGATACAATTAACTTAGGCTTGAATAGAGACTGGAAGTGGATAGGTCATTACACAAAGTAAAACTATTTCCCCATGTTTATTCCCCCTCTCTCCACCCCCTACTGTTCCTCAGACATTCTTGTCAACTGCTGGAAATGGCCCACCTTGATTATCACTACAAAAGGTGTCCCGTCCCCCCCACCCACTCCTCCCCGCTCTCCTGCTGGTAATGTCTCACCTTAAGTGATCACTCTCTTGTTACAGTGTGTATGGTAACACCCATTGTTTCATGTTCTCTATGTATATAAATCTCCCTACTGTATTTTCCACTGAATGCATCCGATGAAGTGAGCTGTAGCTCACAAAAGCTTATGCTCAAATAAATTTGTTGGTCTCTAAGGTGCCACAAGTACTCCTTTTCTTTTTGCGAATACAGACTAAAACAGCTGCTACTCTGAAACCTGTTATTATACTGCTTGAGGAGTTCATACTTGTTAATGGGTTGGAGACATCTAATTATAGAACACACAACCAGACTGGGGGTTTTGCCCTGCTTCTTGACAGTCTGCCCTAAGGTTGGCACTCACAGTCGTGAGCCACTCTGGACAGCGTGACAATTCCTTCATTCATTGCAGAAGTTGGAAGATGCATAGTGAATGAAGCAAGGAATTGCAGGAAGAGAAGGATGGTCTCATGATTGAGTCAGTTTTATACTGCCCTGGAGGCTTCTAACCCTGCCTTTGCCACAGAGGTCCAACTTGATGCTCATCATATCACCTAAACCAAATTTTTCACAAGTGGTCACTAACTGTGTGTTCCTCATTTTCTAATGCCCAGCTTGAGACCCTGAGTCTGAGTATTTGCAACTGAAGTCAATGGGAGCTGTGCAGTGAACATATAACAGGGGTGGCCAAACCGTGGCTTGTGAGCCACATGCAGCTCTTTTACAGTTAGAGTGCAGCTCTCAGAGCCCTCCGCCCCCCCTTCCCCATTCTCTGCCCACCAGCCTGTTTGGAGGAGCTTCTGCCTGCAGGAAGGGAGATCTTGGGGCTTCCGCCCCACAGGAGGTGCCCCAGTCTGTCCTCCCCCACTAGACCTTATGAGCCCGTCTGTGACCCCCAGCAGCTCCACGCTGTCTGTCTCCATATCCCCCATCTCCTGACCTGGCCTGACAGGTGCTGTGAAGAAGGCACTGCAGGCTCTCTCTTTTCCCTAGCTGGCAGGAGAGTGGCTACTCTGTTCTCGTGCCATAGCACCCTCTGGTGGGCAAAAGGTGGAACTGCAGCAACTTTCTGGCAGAAGCTATTGGTGGGGGGGGGGGGGGAGGAGGAATGGATGGGGATTAAAATATGCGCAGCGCATTAAATATGCACATGCACAATGGTGCAGAATTCCCCCAGGAGTAACAAATCCTAATAAGAGAGAGTTTGTGACACGAAAGCTTATGCTCAAATAAATTTGTTAGTCTGTAAGGTGCCACAAGTACTCCTTTTCTTTTTGTGACAGAAGAGTGTACGATCAACTGATAACTCCATTCCTAGACGACGCCTCGTTAAACAAAAGCTCACAGTTGTAAGTTGTTTAGTTTCTATTTACATGGCAAGGATTTGTAAACTTGTTAATACTTCCTAAATAAATAGTTTTTTTAAAAAGAGCTTTACCATCTAATTGTATTCAATGCATAAATTTAAAAAAATATTTTTTGCCAAATAGCTGGGAAAACAAAGTCTCCAGTATTATTTAATCATGCCTGTTTCCCTTTCTATTGATTTCACTATGATTTACAAAACGATATTTAAAAACACACTTTACCTGTAAATCCTAAGGGTTCCACAGTCACTGAATCAGGGCCACTGGGAAGTACTGGCACTTTGATATTCACATCACTTGAAGAACAGTAAGAAAAATATAAATGTAATAAAGCAATGCTGGATATTTCAAGTTCATTTTTAGCATCAGTTTCTCCTTACTTGTGTGTACGCACTGCATGTGGGATACATTTTTTATTTCTAAGACGCAGCCTACTTTCTAAAGCTCCAATCAGTACGTATTAATCTCCTTGAGACAACTCTCTTAATCCCACTTAGCCAAAGATTTAACATTTTGGTAGTCCTAGGATATTAGATTTGACTTCATAAACCCATTTTTACTTGCACAAAGCCAGCAGGGTACATTACTTCTAGTAATCAGAAGTCTGTACAAGTCACTAGGGGAGCTACCTCATAGATTCCATGGAGTCCTTAAGCCATGATGGGCTTTTCCTGGCTGAGACCCACACATTCTTGTATTGGGAAGGCAGAGCCATAGATGCTACACAGTAACCTCCAGTTCTACTATAGGAATAATTCATAATTGAAGGCTATCATGCACCCATTTTCTGTCATTTCAGGCCATGGTGATTGAGGAGTGAAGAGCACAGTAGGCAATCAATTTAGCAACAACATGCTGATTTTCTAAGAAAAAATTACTGTGACTGAAATCACCCTTGCATTCACACACTACTGAAATATTTTTTGTACAAAATATGCCTTGTGAGGTATATGAACACTAACAACACTGATCATCAATATTCTTATGTAATGTATGTACCAAATGCATATTAAGAGTTATGAACATAAACTGAAATTATGACTGAAATAAATGGACCAACAACAAAACAAAACAAAAAACAAACAAACAAACAAGCCCAACCACCATCACAGTGGCAGTAACACTCATCAGTGTCAGCAGACAAGCCTAGTACTGACTTCAGGGCACAGAGACTCCACTACCTCTCTCCTAGTTTCTTCAGTTTAAGACTGAAGCATGCAGGCTGAGCAGCATGAGGAAAACTTTCGCTGCTACTACTTAAGCAGTATCTGTTTCTGCAAATAAAGAGAAGATTTTGATCTCCAGAAATGTCAGTCCAGCACCTTTCATCAACATTACAACTAACTTGTTGCTTGATCTTGTCAACATAAAGACACAGATATAACTTAAGGGCCATTAAAAAAAAAGTGTGTGGTTATGCTTATATTTAGGAACATACATACGTTTGGAAAAAGAGACTCTCAGAAGGTGTCAGAAGGCCCTTCTGATATCCTCCCTTGGCATGGTTGATTCTGCTGGCACAGGACAGTTTTCTTGGCTTGTAGCAGAACCATGGCTCACCAGTGAAGAGGTCTGTGAAGTTACAGACAGGAAGCTCTCCAGGCAAACACACATTGCATACAGTGGTTTCTGAAGTACTACCAGACCTGAATAAGCTTTTAAAGAAGACTCTGTCTGGCCTTTCTTCCCGTAAGCGCTGCAGGACTTGTATCCCTTCACTGGGGTGGACCAGAGACACAGAGACTCTGACATCCCCTGGCCAAAGTAGAGTGAAAAAGACTTTGTAAAACCCATTCTGATCATCTACAACCCTTCCCGTTGCTCCAGCTTTCAGTAGCGGAGAGTGAATTCTTGCCTGTATGTAGTCTCCACCATACTGTTTTGGTTTGCCTTGAAAATCCTTCATGTGGACAAGCACCTCTAACTGATCTCCCACCTTGAAACGCACATGGGAATTCAAAATCACAAAACTGCTGTGGGCAGGATCAGTGCTTCTTATAAATGGGATTTTACCTAAAGGGGGGTTTGGCCACTGTATAGCAGCAAATAAGGATTCCTCCTCAGCTTGTTCTCTTTTGGACAAAGTTTGATGTTCATAATCACAGTAGTGCCTTCGGGTAGTTTTAGTTGTTGGCGATGAAGACTGCTGGTCACTGGTCTCTGTTATCCAATTTAACCCCGAGACCGTGTTGTGATCCAAGTGCTGCAAAGGAAGAGGACTATTAGAAAATAGGCTATTAACATTACAAGTGTTTTGTTAGGATATAAAACCATAAAAACTGTGCTTTGTTTTAGATCGTGTAGGTGGTGATTAAATATCTTAGTTTCACAGGAACACAGAAGATGATTATATTCACCTTACGATTTCTGAGAAACTAGGTGCCTGATTTTTCATTTGCACAAAGGCTCTGAAAATTAGGCCCAAAGATTTTATGGTTACATTTTGAACATCTATGCAGCAAAGTATCAATAAGGTAATCATTATAAGGCTTCCTTTGCCTAAGAAATAAAGGTTATCTAACGTTTTATTTTAAAACTAAGGCACAACAGGCCAAATTTATCACCAACATGAAGCAAGGGAAGTTGGTTACATTACTCCAGAGACAAAACTGATCCTGCACATTGCATGCTTTTTAGACTGCCCACTGCCTTTGGCGATCATGCTGTATTTGTCTAGTCACCCCACATTACTTTTCATCATCCTTGTGTAAACATGCATCTCCTTGTTTAAAGTCAGGAATTAAAAGAAGTTACAGAAATTCAAAAAATGATTGAAAGACATGACTGAACACATGAACTGGTTAGTGGTTACACAAATAGAATAGTGAGTGACAAGCCCCAGAAAACATTGATCAGGACAGACTATGATTTCACATGCTGCTAAAGCTCTAAATCAGTAAACACAACATTGTAGGGGAGAAAGTAGCAGAGATCAAGTGTTCCATCAGCGGGTAGTGATCCATCTATTGGGGATCGATTTATCGTGTCTCATCTAGACACGATAAATCAATTCCCGAACACGCTCCCCGTTGACTCCGGAACTCCAGCTTGTGAGAGGCGGAAGCGGAGTCGATGGGGGAGCGGTAGTGGTGGACTTGCTGCCATCCTCACGGCCAGGTAAGTCGACCTAAGATACTCCGACTTCAGCTACGCCAGTGTAGACCAGGGCCAAGGAAGTTGCTGGAATTTCAGCAAACTGAAAGTATTCCCAAAAATAAGTTTTAGGAAAAACATTAAGACACCAGAGAATTCATGGTGGCTTCTACTTGCCAAGTACACCCTCCAGCTTCAGACCTCAGTTCAAACATGCATCAAGTCAGGGGTTATGGAGATATTTTCCTGTATGTGACAGAACCTCGCTAATTGATACACAAAATAGGGAAACCCTTCTTACTTCTTGGTGAAGGCTTAATGTGAGATCTCTTTACCTTACTTACTAATGCCTCATCAACTTTACAAAGTATCTGAAGAAGTGGATTTTTTACCCACAAAAGTTTATGCCCAAATAAATCTGTTAGTCTTTAAAGTGCCACCAGACTCCTCGTTGTTTTTGTGGATACAGACTAACACGGCTACCCCTCTGATACTTTATAAAGTTTCAAAAAAATAGATCTACAGTATCCAAAAAGAGATAAGATACAATAGAAAGGTTTTTTTATTAAAACAAACCAAAGATTTTTGTTTGCTTGCCCAATAATTCACAAGATTCAGAAATACAGTGGATTTCCCAGTAATTGATGAGAATTAGTGAAGTTCTAATGTAACTCAATCCTCTACATGACATGGTAGCACAGGACATTATTTTGTATCTTTATTCATCCATTCCCAATATGTCTCCCTACACTATCATTATTTAAATTTTCAACTATTCCAAGCAGGGATTGTGTCTTTATGCTCTTAGAGGTGCTTATGGGTACTAGATATTTTTAAGAATAAGAATGCATGGAATACACTTTGGTCATTAGCAGAGGGTTTTTTTTAGTCTCAATGTAGTGCTGGCAGTGTGCAGCCCTGGGAAGTCTTATACTTATCCACACAACAGGCATTATACAGGCATTGCAAGCTTCCTCACACTGCCCCACTAGCGTGCCACAGTACTATCTTGGAGGGTACACTTTTCAAAATCAGAAGATACCATGCCCTTTCAGTGTCTGGTCTCTGCCATGGTTTACCAATAAATGTACAAAGCAGTGCAAAGCGAGTTAGTGTCAGATGGGACATCTTTTGTGATGTGGCCACTTTCCACTAACAGTTGGACTGAGATCAATTTTCACCCACACAACCAGAAAGCCATCGGATAGCAATGGCTTTTGGCTTCCACTGACCAAAGATGGATTCAAACTGGAAACACAGAGGTGAAATGTTCTATGTCCTATTGTCAGTGGTCTGGGAGACAGTTTTAAAAAGTTAATGACTTTCTGGATTGCCCTCATGTTTAATTTCAGGTGCTAAACTCTCCAAAAACTGGCCAACAATGACAGCACTGTGAAGGCAACAAAGTTGCTTCGCAGTTTCCATGAATAAATGACCCAAAGCTGCATCAAAAGGCCTGAGACATACGCTACTTGGAGGACGGATTAGTTGACCTCCTGTGGAGCCTCTGAGGAAGGGTTGGTGGGGAGGAATTACAGTGTGGGAGTAACCCTCTCATGTACAAATGAAAACCTGTAGTTGACTATCCAGGTAAGCACCCAATACAGGGCGGAATAGAAAAGTTTGAAAAAGATCCTTTTAAAATTTCAGTATGCTTCCAAGCAGATGAAACTTCAGCTCTGTTCTAATGCCCATAATCCTGTTTCAGTTATAATTCTTAGCACGTCTTAACATATCTGGATGTCTCATTGTTGCAAACCAGCATTCGTCACAATAACATTAAAAGCAACAAATCGCAATGGGGAGGAAAAAAGTGTCCAAATGGTAGAGACCAATTCTGAACAAGTGTGGAGAAGAGTAAACACTCTACTCCTTCCTTCAAGAGATTTTTATCCCCATAAAAATATAGAAGATACTATATGGAACAAAACATGCCCAACCCAATAGCTTAGTCATCTTATTTTTATAGTATCATATCCTTTGTACCTCGTGCCTACTCACTGCCGGCTTAGACAGGAACAGGTCATTTCTGACATCACAGCACATGGCTGATGCTATGTAAATAAGTTTTTCTAAATGTTGAAGACAATTCTAAAAAGCTAACACCCTATAGAAAAAACAAACTTTCTAGAGCTGGTTGGCTGTCTTGGATGTTTGGGAACCGTCGGCTTGACCTAAGAACACACGAATGGCCACACTGGGTCAAACCAATGGTCTATGTAGCCCAGTATCCGGTCTTTTGACAGTGGCCAATGCCAGATGCTTCAGAACAGGGCAATATTGAGTGATCCATCCCGTTGTCTAGTCCCAGCTTCTGGCAGTCAGAGGTTTAGGGACACCTGGAGCATGGGGTTGCATCCCTGACTATTCGGGCTAATAACCAATGATAGACTTATCCTCCATGAACGTATCTAATATTTTTCTTAACCCAGTTATACTATTGACCTTCACAACATCACAAAGACTTGCCTAATTTGTAATGACAGATAAGGCAACTTCCTGGACTAACCTTACTGAATTAGGTTTAAGTCTCTTAGGAGTTCATTGTTTGAAGGACTGATCCTGCACTACAGTTCTTATTGAAGTTGGGAGTGATCTCCGGTAAGCTTATTAGCATGAAGGTAGGTTCTTCCATTGTTTTAATATGTTTTCTCTGTAGCGCTTTTACCTTAATATAAATTTGCTTGCTTAGAAAGAGCTGTGTGGTAACATAACTGTGAGCAATAACTGTCTCTGAGAAGAAGGCAGAGCAGGACTGCTGAGGCAGTCTCACTTGCTGGGTAATTCACAGTGTAGGCAAGGAATAGCGTAGCCTGGAAAAATCCAGGTCTCGAGGGGGAAGAGACATTTCTCTGCCCAAGAGAGGTGATGAATGGGGTGTAGAAGCTTGGGAGCGGGTGCCTTTGCTGGAGCAAGGGGGAATATGGACACAGCTGCCCTGAACAGTGATAAATGTTAAAAGCTAGGAGCAGGAAAATAAGTAGCAGCACTGTTTAAGACTCTGCACTGCAATACTATAGACCCAGACAACAGAAACTTTGTACTTTATTCTCATCCTTTCAGTAATTGTTATGTTTAATCATGCTTTAAGTTTCACTTGGCACATCCAGGGCAGGGATTTGCACATACCTAAAGCACACACATTATTAGGTGTTACATAAAGAAATACCTGCTTCACTACATTAATCCTATTGGATGATTATTTCCCTATGCACAAACAAAACCAAAGAGTCTGCACAAGAAATTGTTGCCAAAGGATATGCGCACTTATTGAAAAGTAAAATACTTTTGGACAGAATCATATTAATAGCTTGGTACAATATTTAACCCAAATGGTACAATGGCCCCAGCAGTATGGTAAAGATTCTGGCTTTGATTCTCCAGATCACTGGAAGTAGTTAGGCCAAGTACACATTTATCTCCAAATGGGCAAGACAAAACTCTGTTTTAATATCTCTCTCCATGAAATAGAAAACCTGATTCCACACCAACATTCTGCTTATAGGGCTGAGGAAGCTATTTTGGATTTTTCAAAGGGATTTCAGCTCTGAATCAATGGAATGACAGCAGAACTCCTTAAGCTTAGGTATGGCCTCATTGCACAGTGTCATTTTAGCATCCCTGGAGAGAAATCCCAACCAGAAACACTGTGACCTGATCTACACATGGGGCTTTCAGCCCTGCCTACACTCTTGCTTATCTGCTAAGGTGGCTGTGTGACTATTCAGGTGACATTTCTATTGTAACAAAGAAGAGCTGCAGCACACAAGCACCGTCTGTACAGCCAACTGAGCCTCCTGTATGCCAACAATACTACATAAGGTATTTGTTAAGTTTTGCAGACACATACTGGCATCAGTCAGCCTGAGTTAACAATGAGTGCACTATGCTTTAAAGCTGAGAATTCTGAACACAGAAGAAAGGCATGTTATCCTTGTTCACCAAGGACCACCATAAGCCTCTAGTATGCAGGGTCCTGGATGCCTTACCTCACGGGTTTTAAGTCACTACTTTTAGACTTCAGGTTTGTTGGACACTTCTTTCAAAGAAACTCCAGTCTGACTCAAGAGTATATCAGTATCCCCAGGGAAAATTTTCCTCCTCTGCTGCAAAAGCTCTTCAAAGGCAGGTAACCTGAACTGACCACACTGAAGACTCAAATGCTTATTTTTTCCTCTCCTCACCACACCACAAAGTAGCAGCATTAGATGTCCCTAAAACAACCATTAGCTGAGTGGGGATAGCCATTCTCTTTCCCTGGCATTTGCACCAGCTATGAAAAAGGAATGTTAATGTAGTTATCTTGTTATGTTTTCAGCTCTGTCTCACTCCACATACCAATGAATCAGGTTTACCAAAAGGAATCAGTCGTCTCTCATCCCTGCAGAAGCATTCTGCCCCCCACTCCCTATTCTCCATAAAAATCTTTTTCAACAAGCTTAGGAAGGTTTGTTACTAATTTATATATAATGCCCAGGTGAACTTGACTTAATAGAGAACATATTGCAGAATCCCTGTGTCAAAACTTTCACAATCTAATTCATACAGATACAACACCTGGTCTAACAGATCAAATGACGGAGAAGCACAGATGGTCATTGAGGAAAGCAATATATAACAGGAAGGCATTACAAAAGGTGTTCTCATAAAACAGGGGTGGGCAAACTTTTTGGCTCGAGGGCCATATCAGGGTTGCGAAACAGTATGGAGGGCTGGGTAGGGAAAGCTGTGCCTCCCAAAACAGCCTGGCTCCAGCCCCCTATCCATCCCCTCCCACTTCCCGCCCCCCCTCCACCCCAACTGCCCCCCTCAGAACCCCTGACCCATCCAACCCGCCCTGCTCCTTGTCCCCTCACCGCCCTCTCCTGGGACCCCCCGATGCCCTCCCCAAACCTCTGCCCCATCCAACCGCTCCCTGTCCCCTGAAAGCCTGGGAGGTGGGTGGGTGCAAGGTGTGCTGCCCGCGCGGCAAGCTGAGACTGCGGTGGAGGGGCCGGGAGTTCAGGGGCCAGGCAGGACAGTCCCACAGGCCTTGCCCACCTCTGTCATACACACACAGAAAATTGGGAGATATCCACACATAGTGGGGCACCCAAGGACATTCCTAACCAATCCTGAAGTGGCTCTGTTGGTCCACGTAACATTTGGTATGTAAATATTTGTTTGCTTTCTATAAACAAGTCACCTCTTTGATGCAACAACCTAATGCTCCACAGAAGACAGTTAAGAATATTCTTTCATTCTGTTTTATCTTCAAGAACCACACCACATCTGTTACTATAATGCAGCACTTAACCATGGATCTCAATATGGGAGCAGCTCAGCCTTAGTCTATCAAAACACTTAATGGGCAGCTCGAGGTCTTAACTGAAGCTAAAAAGTTGGCTGAAAGAGTTCAAAGAGAAGTGACATTTCTTAGCACTAGACTATTAAACAATAAGTGGTTTGCATCTGCATCCACATTTTAAACAGTAATCAGTAGGAAAGGAGACTTCCAGAATAAACTGCATTCTGACTACCTCTGATTCTCTAAAAGCTCTCTCAAACCAGATCTTTTCTGAGAGCATTATTCATTTGAAGAATATCAACATATAAACCTGTGCTAAATTGACTGGAGGGCTATGCCCCCAAAAAAGAAACAATGTTGCAGCAGATGCATTTAGAGAAGTCAAGGACAATAACAGAATCAGAACCTTTTTAATGTATCTGACATTGGAGTGATTTAATAGCAACATATAACTTGGTTGGGGAATGTGGGATTTATACAATGTGGTATATATATGAGAACATACCTCCCCCCAAAATGTATTTGTGAATTTGAATCCCCAAAAATAAGAGTCAGAGCATATATTTCTAGGACAAGTAATAAAAAATTAAATGTGTTGCCAGAGACAAGAATAGCCCAATATCCTACTGTAAATGAAAAATCTGTAAGAGATAGCAACAGGAAACGAAAAGAAGAAACAAAGACGGATCACCAGTTTTCACTACGAGCAAATGCCATAGGAAAGGTACTTGACACTCCCAAGACAGTCTGCCTAACCCACTATGTTATAAAAATCAGTTATGATGTCAAATTCCTATTTGGTAGATAACAGAACTAGTTGCGAAGATCAGCAAAGGAAACCTATGGTGTCCTACTCAATGTCAGACTGGGTACTAACTGTCCATTTAAAGATAATACTTGAATTAGATGTATTCAGCATTTAGAAACAGCTGTTAGTGTATCTCCCCAACAAGATTTGGCTTTAGCACAATCAACTGAAACTGTGTTAATTTCTAAGAGCCCTTCTTAAAGGTGTGTCACTGCACACAAATATGCAGTGCTTAGTAGAAGACAATGGAATCCACAGAATGAAAGCCGAAAGGCTTGCTCTTGATTTTTGCAGCCGTTTGTGGGGAAGTTGCCAAATGCAATCATCCAAATATCTATGAAAACAGGAAGACATCTGCCTTCTTGAGAGTCAAGATTAGGCTGCACTGTATCTAACTATGAAAGGCAGTGCAGCCTTCATGGCCAGAAACTTTAAATGCGTCTGCTCAGAGACAGCCTTAATATGTGCTGACTTTCAAAGCTGGAATATTTTAAAAACTTTTTATGATGCTGTTTTTATTCCCCATATGTAACAAAATGTGTCCCAATATTTGATGCTCTAAAGCATTCACCAAGCTGGCAAGCAACAAAATGTTTGCAACACAAAAATTCTGATATCAAACAAAATGAACATATAACTTCAGAAATATAGCAAACATTTATTGCAAGATGCTGTTCAGTCTTCTTGAAAAGAGTACTACATATTCAACAGATTGAATAAAAGTTGAATAAGCATTTCCAATTATACCCGGCTAACAGTTATTTAATATAAAAATTTCATTTCTCTTCAGCGCCAGAATCCTAAATTTCAAATTGCTGGGAGATTAATACTTTCTATCCCTAACACACACAAACCCCTTTGTTGTAGCAGTTCTATTCTGTGAAATTAATGTATCTAGATAGCTGTGTATGGAACAATGGAGGATGGGAGAAAGAGGGGATGAGATGGACTGAACTTGCTGGATATAACTGATAAACATTATGATGAAGCAATTCTGGATGAAAGGAGATTAGGATGTAAACAGAAGAGTAGACCAACCACTGTCCCATTGACCTCTAAGAGCTACCTTAAACAAGAACAAAGCAAAACACAAACTTTCACTGGTAATATGATTTTAGTATGAGCTACACAAGGACCTTTTGGGGCATCGGTCACACACACACACACACACAAAAAGACGTGGACAACACTCTGATAAGAGAGCGTTAGCACACGTAAAGCCAGAGAAAATGTATGTACAAGACCTATATATAACACATGAAGAATGAGCAGTTCAATAGGAAATGGACACATTATCGTTTAGTGGGGACCAATTTACACAGAAGGTCAAAGCGGAAGTACTGATACTACAGGAAGAGCTTAGTGGCAAAGTGATAAACAATAAGAGCTGGCAGATAGGAAAGCACCACAGCAGGAAGTTGATACATAAAGGTAATTCAGGTAGTATTGTAAACTAAACGAAATAATGTTAATTAAACCAGTTATTTAAAGTGTTATAGGTTAATGTGGTTTGAAAGTATAGTTTGCCTGTTTTATTTAGTCCAAACACAGATTTGGGGAAGAGAAATTGTATATCAACTACAGTTAAGCCATAGTCAAAACATAATATTACTCCTCAGGGAATTCTGCACCAAAAATTTAAAAATACTGTGCCAAAAAAATAAAAATTATGCGCACAATATGTTAAAATTCTACAAATTTTATTTGTCAATAAATAAATGTGGCTCCAGCATAGCAGTGGGGAGCACAAGCCACCGGTTGCACTGAAGTGGAAGATCACCCTAAACCCCCACCTCCCCTGGTACAGGGACTCGACAGCGAGGCTGCAGCCAACCCTGACACAGTGCAAGGGCTGGGTCTCACCCAGAGACACCCCAGGATCCTGACCCTCTGCACCAGGCACACCAGGTGTTGGTGGGCAGGCTCAGCCCAGCAGGATCCAAGTGTGGAGGGGCTTAGTGTGGGGCAATCTGGGTGCAGGCAGCTCAGTGGGGGATCTGGATGCACAGGGGCTCATTGGGAGTTCCGGGTGCAGAGGCAATGGGACTCTTCAGGGGATCCAGGTGTAGGTGGCTGGGGCTCAGGGGGGGGGGGGGTGTCTGGGTGTGAGGAGATGGGGTTCAGCGGGGGGGTTGGGTGCTGGGGGCTCAGTGGGGAGGTCTGGGTGCTGGGTGAGTGGGCTTGATGGGGTGGGGGTCCAGGTGCAGCTGGTTGGGCCTCAGTGGGGTGGGGGTCTGGGTGAAGGGGGGCTGATCGGGGGTCCAGATGTAGGCAGATAGGGCTTGTCAGGGTGAGGGTTTGATGCGTTAATGGGGAAACCCCAGCTCCTGCCAAGGGGACACCACATGCCGGGCTCCTGCTTCACCCCACGATTCCCCTATCCCGTTTTCTTCCCCATCTCATCCCTCTCCCGCACTGCCCCATGCCCCTTCCTTCACTCCCACATTCCCCTCCCCTATTCCACCCCCCCTTCCTTCCCCACTGCCTCATTTCCCCCACCCCCACAGCCAGCACTCACTGTTTAACAGAAAACAGGAAGGCTCCCAGCACACAAAACGGGAGCTTGACTGGCACTAGGACCCAGGAGGCGGCATTCAGCTGCAAAGTCAGTGGAGCGGAGATATGGCTCGCTTCTGTTTAGGGGGGAAATCCCTACCAAAAAACTGCACCCATGATCGTTTCCCGTCCTCCACACAGTTTCCCTTTGCTTACCTGCTGTTTTCTGCAGGGAAGCACAGGAATTCTGCACGGAGAAGTGGCGTTTTCTGCAGCATGCAGTCCCACAGAATTCTCCCCGAGCGGCATAAGCTAAACAGGAAGACTGTTACTCAACCTCTTCCACTGTTAAAGAAAACTGCTTGACTCACCTCAAACTGATGGAAGTTGTGTACCAACACCAGAACAGCCAGCACTGCTAGGCTCATGCAGAAAACCTGTAGTCTACAGAAACTGGGCCACATTGTCCACTCATATCTTTCTCAACCATGTTAGTTGCTGTCATGATTTCCATATCCCACAGGCACCAATGTCATCGTGTTTCAGTATTACACAAGAGATTCAGTTGACTTCTACTTCATTAGTCTCTTCCTGTGAATGCATTTACAAGGATTTTACTAAGTCCCTAGATGTATTCGAGTGTGTTGGGTTTAACATTGAATTAGGAATGTCTAAATGCTGAACCAAGGAGAAAGGGAAAAATAGACTAGATAATATATTTTTATGGCACTATTATTTTACCTAGACAATACTCACAGTTACATTACTAAGTTACGCCCTTCAGTGTTTAGACTCACCATCTTACCATAAAATCAAACGTGGCTACCTATACTTAATAGCATCACCCATGGAAGAGCGTTGCACGATCTCTTGCCTGTAACTAACAATAGAAATTGTACTCATAATGTAGGTTGACTCCACAGCCACAATCCATCCCAAAGGGGCCAAGATTTCAGCAGTGACTGGTGACTTAGGTTATCTCCATTTCTAGATGTCCAATCTGAGACACCTTCATAGGACCTGATTTGCACAGGGCAGGTGTTCAGCACTTTCTGAAAATCAGGCTCCTTTAAAGGTATCTCAGATTGGGGCACCAAATGATTACTAGTCTTCTTCAAATCCGGGACAGACTGACCAAGACAGACTGCTGCTCCAATCTTTCATCTATTTTCAAACAAAATTCCCCCCAAATCTGCCAGAGTCCAGGATTGGAACCTACATATTTCCCCATACAAACTATGCAAGTTAGTTTTTCCCCAAACATAAAGGCAACTATAAAAGCTGATAATTAGACAAGTGTCATCTGTATTAATCAGAACTTCTTGTCTTAGCATTAACTGAAAATTTATGAAACAAAGTACACCATTGTTTTTTTATGTTAAGCTGCACCATCTTTTAAAGTTTCTATATGAGAGACACAGTCTCCATTCACAGGGACATGAAAAAAGATAGAAAGATGTTTAAGGGGTGCACTGAAGATCAGGGAGGATTATTTTTATAACCAATTACTATGAATATTTCTTTTATAATACTTCTTTTAAGGTTAAACAACGTAGACACTTACCTTTTATGAAATGTAAAGAGCTTCCTCAATGTTGTTAGATTTTTTTCAAAAATGTTATAGGGGCAGGGATTTATCCACAATTGTTGACAAAATGCTCACAGCCTGACGCATCCTCAGTTTTACATCATTCTTCCTCCTTTGGGGTTAATTTTGGAAGTCATTTTTGCATACAAGTTCACCATTCCTGTAGTGCAACTTGACACTTGAAAACAGAGAGTAGTCATTAAAAAAAGAGGAGTCAAAAGACATTAGCTTCTTAAAATAAAATATTCTCAGTGCAATTTGACTAGTATAAACAACCACAAAGTATCTCAATAGAGTTATATGATTAGATCAACTTTGATTGAGAAGTCAGACTATTTGTTAAAAATTTAAGTGAAGGATGCTTAAATTGAAGATTGCATGCTAAACTGGATAACAGCTGTACAGTTACAGTTTTTAAATAAGTCACTACATGCACATAGAATAAAAGATTCCTGATTATATCGGTAATATTCTGTAATAATAAAATAGAATGCACATGGAATTGCTTTACAAGCACTCCTATCCAGATTATACTTCAACTGCTTTCCAAAGAGATTACAGAGATCACACTATATTTTTGATTGATGAACTATGACTGCCATTTAAAAAAAAAGGATTTAATAAAGTTTTAATGACTGAACATACAAAAAGCTGCAGCTTTGTTAGAACTATCTTTACAGTAATCTGAAAAACCAGAGCTCAAGAGTCAACTGCAGTACAATACAATAATTGCACTGTTTTTACAGCAACAAGAAAATCTGGTTTGCATATTTAAATCAAATTACAGCACCTGCTCTCTGCACTCTGACATGCTTTCAGTGCAGTAACAAAAAGCAATTTAAATGGACATGGGCAAAAAAGACTCCAAGCTACACACCATAATTTGTTTAAAAGTAAATATTGTGCAACATTCCTGAAGGATGCTTTCTATATATTTTCTAAACAAAACAAAGAGACACTTGATTGCTTTGATCCTGAAATCTTTTTTAAAAATACAAAGGTATAATACACATACTAGTATAATTGAAATGGCAGGCAAACACAAATGATAGTCATACAATAAATTGATAAGAGATTTATGATTCAATGTATTTATCATGCACCTTTGAGTGTATTCTTCCATCCCAACCATCTGAGAAACTTTAATGGACTGCTTTAAAAAAAAAGTCTCCTAGAGAAATGTCCTCCCAACAAATTCTGACTAGACTCTTCTCCCCCCGACCCAAGTTATCGCCATTTGAGGTCCAATACAGTTAACGTTCAATCCTGGGCCAATGATGGCTTTTCTATGCATAAAGACATGCTTAAGGTCCCATGTCTTTTGCCATTAGAGGGATAGAAACAAATGCATTATTATACCATGGAAAAGAGGATATTTCCAACATTCTGATGGATGAAGAAGTACCCACTTCCAGTCGTTAAAGACCCCACGTTTTGGTTCCTTGCAATGAGCTTTTTTTCAGGGAAGCATGACAGCTTTCACAAATATGACGCAGCTAGTGTCTAATCTCATTTTATAAGGACAAGGTCCATATGTGCAGTGGGTGTGAACTGGAAAAAGGAGCCACTGCTGCTACCAATTTAATTAGGGCTTCAAGATTTATCTTCTTTTTTATCCCACTCATCATTCCTGGAGCAAGCATATAAATTCATTGCTATAAGGATACACAGGCGGATTTGCGTACATCTTGTGTGCTGGTAGGTTTCCTCATTTGCACACAGAATAAAACCCTTCAAGAGGCTGCAAGTAAATTTCAACATCTGCAGTTGCTGGAAGCACCTTGCAGAGGAAACTGGGATGAAACTGACAGGCACTCAAGTGCACCTGCTAAAACCCATAGGCTTATAAATGGCAAGTCTGAGCTGAGCAAGAGCTGAACTGCAGAAGTGGATACAGACCCAGACCCTAGACACACACTCCAACCCCACAGACCCAGTGCCAGGTTTACAATGGCATCAGTGGCTCTTTGGAGCCGGGCCCAGGCTCACAAGGGGCCCCAGCCTACTCCACTTGCACTGTACCCCGAGACCCCGATCCTCCCCCTGCCTACCACTTGCTCCTCTCGGCCTGCCTGCTGGCAGAGGGCTCCTCTACTCCCCTGGCCCACCCCCATGCTCCTCACTGCCCCCTGGCAGGACCCCAGTGCACCTCTGGCTCCAGACCTGTGGGGCCCCGCCTGTCTCCTCGGAGATGAACTGCCTGGGACTGGTGCAGAAGCCTGGCCAATCTCAGCCTGGGGAAGCTGACGGGGGGGCCAGCTTGGCTGGGCCCCTCCAGGCAAGTGCATCTTGAGGGAGCCCGGCCAGGGCAGGCCTTGGCCGGCTGATCACACCACTCCTGAAGGGACGGAGCAATTCCTGGCCCTGGGACCAGCCCTGGCTGCGCTGCCTGCTCAGCCCAGCAGACACAGTCACCTTCCAGCAGGGCAGGGGAGTGCAGCCAGGAGGCAGGGCATGGGGTCTCGGGGGTGGGGTTGCTGGGCTTGAGGGGGCAAGGAAGATGTATGTATTGGGGCAATATAGGGGTTCTGTGCTGGGCAGTTGGGGTGGGGCTGTAGGTAGGGGAGGTGTTGTGCAGGGTGCTGTACATTTCTGGGGGAGCACTGGACATAGTGGGTCCAGGGGGGCTCTAGTCATAGAAAGTCCAGGGGTGTTGGGCAGGGGGTCTGTGGCATGGGCCTGTCCCCCCCGAGGGGAAGGGGCATGCTGGCATCACAGGGCCACTGTGCATCTGGCAACTGCCAGTTGGAAATAGTGCCCTCACACTGGGCTGGGCAGAGCGGGGCCGCCCTTGCCATGCCCCTTTGCCTTTGGCTGGCCCCTCGGTCTGGGGGCTGACCTCCCCGCACCATGCTCCACTGCCTCAATGGGGGCCCACAAATATGTTTGGCGCCAGGCCCACAAAAGATTAATCTGGCCCTGCACAAACCCCACTCACTCCAGCACCCTGGTACCTCATCATGCACCCTACCAGCTCACCCACTGTCACCCCTTGTCTCCCCACCTCTCCTAAACCCCACTCCTAGCCACGCACCCAGACCCCACTCCAGCCCCCGCCAGCCCAGCGCTAGTCTCCCCAGTACCAGGCAGTCTCCCCCAAGACGGCCCGCCAGGCCCAACACCAGACCCCCTGAACTCCACTAGCCCAGTCCGCCTAAGCCGTGAAGCCACCTCTACATCCCCCCTCCGAGCACGCCCGGAGGGGGGGGGACTTCCTAGAGCCCCCGCCGCAAGGGGAGGCTGCGCTGGACCCTTGCCCCGCTCGCTCACCGGCTCCAGGGCTCCCAGCCAGCGCCGTCCCCGCCCGACTCCCAGCGCTCCACGGCCCGCGCCCGGCCCCCGCGCGGCGGAACAAACACTGGCTGGCGCCGGCCGGAGGCGGGAACTGGGCGGGACTGACCCTGGGAAGGAGGCGGCTGCGGAAAGCGCGTCAGCAGCCCTGCCCCCACCTATCCCCTATTACACCGCACCACGCAGCCCCCCTGCAGCTTGGGCAGAGCCCGGCGCGCCCCTCCCGCACAGCAGCCCCCGGGCCCACCGCAGCGAGCTCCCGCCCGCCCGCCCGCATCGCTCCGCCTCCCCCGCGCACGGCGCCGACAGCTCCTGCGCGTTGCACGGGCCTGGCTGTAGTCGTTTTCCAGTGAGGCGTGCGCACGCTGCCTCTGGGCTCGCTATGGCTGCCTCTACCCACTCTCCCTGGCATCGTCTCCCCTCGGCTTCGTGCGCCTGTCCCCCTCCACTTGCGTCCTGCACGGGACGTCCCCTTTCCGCTACATTGCATTCTTCATAGCCCCTGGCTTCTAGTGCTGGCTGCGGCTGCCCTTCCTTCAAGGGGTTTCCAACAGCCACACCAAGCGCTTTTCAGGGGCCCTGGAAAGCGGTTTCTGTCACAAGAGCGTAGGCTGGACCAGAGATCCAACACTGACATCTGCCGCTACGTGCAGCCCTGTAGTCCCTTCGGATTTCTTTCAATCTCAACTAGGAATAAAAACAAGCCCATTTCTGGACCCTGCAGAGCTGCTTCGTGTATTTCTTTCCCATAAGTTTCTGTGCTGCGAATTCAACTACAGTGAAATACGCAGATGCAACAGAAACTGGGTATCCTTATGACGTTTAGCTAACATACATCCTCACTTGTAGTTCCAAATTTTCAAAGTGACCTCCTGTCAAGGTTCCTCCCCCACTCTGAACTCTAGGGTACAGATGTGGGGACCTGCATGAAAAACCTCCTAAGCTTATCTTTACCAGCTTAGGTCAAAACTTCCCCAAGGTACAAAATATTACACCCGTTATCCTTGGAATGGCCGCTACCACCACCAAACTAATACTGGTTACTGGGGAAGAGCTGTTTGGACGCGTCCTTCCCCCCAAAATACTTCCCAAAACCTTGCACCCCACTTCCTGGACAAGGTTTGGTAAAAAGCCTCACCAATTTGCCTAGGTGACTACAGACCCAGACCCTTGGATCTTAAGAACAATGAACAATCCTCCCAACACTTGCACCCCCCCCTCTCCTGGGAAATGTTGGATAAAAAGCCTCACCAATTTGCATAGGTGACCACAGACCCAAACCCTTGGATCTGAGAACAATGAAAAAGCATTCAGTTTTTTACAAGAAGACTTTTAATAAAAAATAGCAGTAAATAGAAATAAAGAAATCCCCCCTGTAAAATCAGGATGGTAGATATCTTACAGGGTAATTAGATTCAAAAACATAGAGAACCCCTCTAGGCAAAACCTTAAGTTACAAAAAAGATATACAGACAGAAATAGTTATTCTATTCAGCACAATTCTTTTCTCAGCCATTTAAAGAAATCATAATCTAACACATACCTAGCTAGATTACTTACTAAAAGTTCTAAGACTCCATTCCTGTTCTGTCCCTGGCAAGAGCAGCACACAGACAGACACAGACCTCCTGCCTCTCTCCCTCCTCCCAGCCCCCGAAAGTATCCTGTCTCCTCACTGGTCACCCTGGTCAGGTGCCAGCGAGGCCACCCCCAGCTTCTCAACCCTTTACAGGTGAGAGGAGCTTTCCCCTGGCCAGGAGGGATTTCAAAGGGGTTTACCCTTCCCTTTATATTTATGACACCTCGAGAGAGGGGAGGGGGCTGTAACTCAGGCAGGAAGATTTGGTAAATAGGAATTCCTACATGCTAGAATAGAAAATAAGGGACCCAGATATATAACAGGAGAGGAATGTAAGTAAACAGCTAAAACCATCCTCTTAAGGCAAGTTAATTTTAACTTTTCTATCTCCCTTGTAGTCTCATTTCAATTATTTTTTCATTTAATAACCAAGCAGGAGCTGAAGTCTCTGGGTCAGATTTTCGAAAGAGCTCAAAGCCACAGTTTCAGGTTCTCAGCATTCACAATTTAGGCCAGATTCTCCAAAACTGTTCAGCATTCAGTAGCTGCCATTCTGACACTTGAAAACTTGGCCATAAGAATCAATGTGAGGAATTATTTTAAAAACAGCCATTTATTTAGGTGCCTAATGAGAGCTAAACTCTTCTGAAAATCTGACTGCAACTGAGAATGCTGAACACTTTTTGAAAATTTGGCCTTGTGAGAGAATTACAAAAGAGAACCACAATATGAGAACATTTGAGAGCCACCAACCCGTTGTGGCAAAGAGTCCGGTGGCACCTTATAGACTAACATACGTATTGGAGCATAAGCTTTCGTGGGTGAATACCCACTTCGTCAGATGCATGTAGTAGAAATTTCCAGAGGCAGGTATAAATATGCAAGCAAGAATCAGGCTAGGGATAACGAGGTTAGTTCAATCAGGGAGGATGAGCCCCTCTTCTAGCAGTTGAGGTGTGAACACGGAGGGAGGAGAAACTGCTTTTGTAGTTGGCCAGCCATTCACAGTCTTTGTTTAATCCTGAGCTGATGGTGTCAAATTTGCAAATGAACTGAAGCTCAGCAAAAAGAAAAGGAGTACTTGTGGCACCTTAGAGACTAACCAATTTATTTGAGCATAAGCTTTCGTGAGGTACAGCTCACTTCATCGGATGCATCAGTTTCTCTTTGAAGTCTGGTCCTGATGTTTTTTTGCTGCAGGATGCTGCTACCTTTAAATCTGCTATTGTGTGTCCAGGGAGGTTGAAGGGTTCTCCTACAGGTTTTTGTATATTGCCATTCCTAATATTTGATTTGTGTCCATTTATCCTTTTACATAGGGATTGTCTAGTTTGGCCAATGTACATAGCAGAGGGGCATGGCTGGCACATGATGCCATATATTACATTGGAGGACGTGCAGGTGACCCCGTTCTGCTGTCCTCAGCATCCATTTCCTGTTGATGTGGCAATGTAAACAAACACTTCTTTCTCCACCCAAGAAAGCATTTTTATTATTAATTTCCACACATCCTGTTTTTTTTCCTATAATGAGCATGTTCCTATAATGAGCATGTTCAGCTTACAATATGAAACCACACCAGAATAAACTGAGGGAAGCAACGCTCGCAGTAAAGTTAAACCATAAAAAACAAGGTAGAGACAACAGAGAATGGAGATTCAATTTTGAAAGGGAGAGTTGGCAAGATGTAGCAATACCAGAAGGCTGATGCAGATAAGAAAGATCTCACACCAAAAATGATGAAATGTGGAATGGGGTGTAGAACAGGAGATACATGTTGATTTAATCTGAAAAGAGGTCTATTTTTGTTCTCTATCTTAGGATCTAATTATTATTATATAGCAATGGAGTTGTACCCAGGGCTGCCCGGAAGTGGGGGGGCAAATGGGGCAATTTGCCCCAGGCCCCGCAGGGGCCCCTGCGAGCATTTTCAGGGGCCCCCACGAGACCCCGCTGCTGAAGACCCCAGGCCCCCGAATCCTCTGGGAAGCCCTGCTTGTACATAGAACTTTACACAAAATTAGAGATCCTTATTGTTATGGTTAAATCTTGTTAGATTCTCTATAGGTTTGGTGTTAGAGATTTAGCTAAGAGAATTTACGGGAAGATTTGACACGGATTTCACAGCAGATGAGGTCAAGAAGTATAAATCAGGGATGGGGCTAATGTGATGATTCATCACGGAGAGACACAAAAGATCAATATTAAGCATCTTTCAAGCCATGTTGCTTTTGTAAGTTGTTCTACCGATTCAGCCTTTGGATACTAGATTGCCACTGTCAGAAGTCTGGATACTGAGCTAGATAGACCTCTTGTCTGACCCATTATGGCCACTCTTATGACTTATTAAAGTCTATTATATCACGAAAGCACAATGCTTGCTGTCACTATGACATCTCACTACCCAGTGATCATTCATGTAGCATTTATCAATTTATTCTGAACTGTCTAAAATATTAGATTTATAGGAATGTATTATGTGTTTTTCTCCAAAAAAAAAAAGGACATATAAAGAGGCTGTCTCGTGCCTAGTGAGGACGTAAAGGTTAGAGAGCACAAACCTGCAACTATTATTCATGTGACTAGTCACTAGATCGTGAACATGTTAGGACAAGGCCTGTATTTTATGTATTTGTACAGATATGCTCAACAGGGCCTTGATCCTAATTAGGGCTTTTTGATGCTATCTCAGTACAAATAAATAAGTGATTGGGGCAACTCATGTATGTAAGGATGCATGTTAACAACTTCCCCACCTCACACACATGTACACACTCTCCTATCTTTCCTTGCACAGATCCTGGTTTTGTGCAGGGCACCAATGGAAGTACTCCCTCTCCCTGCATGCTTTTTCATGGACAGAGGTTGATCCCTGTAAAGGGGGCATATGATAGCAGGCTGGGCTTACCACTGGTGTCCGTTCCAGGGTGCAGTTATGATTTTTTTTTAAAGTACAGGTTTTTCTGCTCCTGCCAGCTTGCCCCCATACCTACTGGCATGACCTTACATGTATAGGGCACATAGAGTCCTGCTTAACCATTTTTCTCTACAAAGTGTTATCCCCCATACAGCATGACCTGACACACAGTGTACTTGTGAGGTCATGCCATGTGAATGATGCCTTTTTGTTTCTGTATAGTGCTGAAATGGCAGTCCACCACATTCAGGCCCCACTTTACCCGGTGCCTTTCTTCAGCATCTTCTCTGATAACATGACAGCCAGCCTTTAGGTGGATGACGAATCAGCCCTCAGGCCAGGTTACCACTTTGGTTCACCCCCTTCCAGCCTAATGAAGTCCAAACTGATACAAAGAATCCCACATCCTCATAATAGGAAGGGTCTGCAGCCCACCTCTGGACCCTGATGGGTGGCTTGCCCTCAGCTTGGGGCTCTGGATGTCTCTATTCTTTCCTCATTCCTGAGAGGAAGGGTCAAACAGACAGACATTGTTCAAGAGCTTTGGGGAGAAGTCTATCCTCCTACCCTGCCTGCACCCTTTTGAGTTATCTGGCTCCCACTTAAGCTCCTTCCTCCACCTGGAGCACACCGGGGGCGGGGGCGAGGGCGAGGGGGAGCTGGGTGTGACAGCCTTTATCCTTTCCTCCCCAGGCCAGATTGGGCTACAGCAGGACAGAGCAGCTGTGCAGACAGGCAGCCAATCAGCCCATCAGAGAGGGCCTGTGGGGAGCCAATCATAGCTGAGCAAGAGGCAACCAATCAGGGCCAGGCTAGGCCCTATATAAAGGCTGCCCAGGCAAAAGGCAGGCTGTATCCGCCAGGCCTTTGGAGGGTGAAAGTCTGTCTTCTGTGTGAGGAGACTAGCACTAGGAACAATACAGTACTGGTTAGGTCAGGGAAGCAGAAGGGAACTCCAGCCTGGTACCTGCTAGGCTGCAAGGAAAGGGCCTAGCTGGTGCAAAGGGGAAATAGCCCAAGGAGAGAGATGGACAAAGGGAGAGAAGGAGGGCAGACAGGAAGGCTGCTGCCAAAGGGTCCCCGGGTTGGGACCCAGAATAGAGGGTGGGTCTGGGTCTCCCCCCCCGCTTGCACTTACACCTCGCTGTTAGGAGTAGCTATCATGGACTGCACCAGACCCCTGCCAAAAGGGGTTAGACTTTGGGGGGTGTGGTTGGCTGCTGGGGCAAAGTCAAAGGACTGCTGTTAACACCCCTGCTCCCTCTGGAAGGGGGTGAGCATGGACTAGGGGGCACTGCGGGAGAGCAGTGTCCTGAAGAATAGGCTGTGAGAAGGAAGCAATGTGGGTCCAGATGCTAACGGAGGGCAAAAGATGGATGGGATACCACCAATGTAGTGCGCTCCATGTGGACTGAGCTAATTCCTGGATGTACCAGCAGGAGGTGCTGCAGTGGTGAGTCCCAACCCTGTCACACTGCCTGTGAAGAAACCTTTTATTCTGCATTCATACCTTTAACCCTTCCTGAAATTATTAATTCTTTCCAATATATACAACAGCATCAGCAATATATGAAGCTGGTGTTTACCCATGGAACCCACTGGGGGGGGGAAGGCCATCTTGTAACATAGGGGTGGAGTCACATGGTTTCACAACTGTTCCTTAACCCCTTCATACACTACATCACAGGATTCTTTACGGAATGCAGAGGTAGGAAGTAAGGAATGGAAAGAGAAGGATTAAATCAGTTTATCAGAAGTAGCAAAACAGGGATGTGCACTGTTCTAGCTACATAGCAGTACTTACATCTGTGTATTGCACCACTGTGAGCTTCCCTATAGAGGAAGGCCTATGAGAAGGAAATTTGCAACCTAGCTCAGGTTTCTATTTATTTACCAGATACTTTTCTGCTTTCTAAATGAGACTTTGAAAAAGAAATCCACTGCTGTCAGCAAGTTTGAACAGATTGCTATCCACAAAGATTACACCAGCGATTTTCTGCATGCAGGTAGTCATAGAATTGTCTCTGAGATAGTAATGCCTATGTTTTCCTCCTGTGTCTGAAGATTAAAAGGTCATTCACCTCTATAAACATGAAAGTCAAAACATGGACATGACTGATATTGGAACTAAGCATTTGCAGTATTAAAGCCACATTACTTAAAGGTGGCATTCAAACTCACCCCATACTTATTCTAAGAACCCAACAGGGGCCCCCAAAGGCTTTAGCAATACTCATTTTTTCAGTATCAGGATTGACAAAAGGGCTGGGTCTTTAACTGGTGTAAATTTAGCAAAGCAATTCTATATGGCTCTGCACAGTCCTGAGCTGCTAGAATATTTTGAAGGAGGTGGGTTGGCTGGTTTGGTAAAATCCAAGTGACCTTTAGAATTATTTTTTTAATTGTGTGGCAGCCACCTGGCAGTTCTATAGTACCAGGAGGGGGATTAATTTACCCTGTAATTCTGTATCTCTATTTCCTGGCAGGATTCTTATTCCTGGACCTTGTGCTCCCTAGCTCAAGGAGGACTGAAATCCCCATCTCTGAAGGTTCTTGGTCACTAAAGGCTGCAGTAGTGAATCAAGAGACACTTCTCTGCTAATGCTCATGTGCCACCCAGAGTACAGCACTCTTAAAGCTTAGAAATGGTTCCTTAACTGCACTAAGTGAAAACTCCACACTGGAACTATAATTTTTCAACTGCCAGTCTGGCTCTTCAACCTAGTCAGAGCTGATCTTGCTCTTTTTCATTAAAAATATTTCTAGAACCGTGGTACGATGTACTTCAAATAAATCTTGGCTGTGTGCCCCAGGATTTTGATTGGGCACTAACCATCCCACTGCCCTTCCCCCCTGTGCAATTGCCTTTTCACACCTTATATTCACTTTGAAAAAAGCAAAGTCTCATGTTGCTTTGACTTTAACTCTCTGCACTTCTAAATTAATTCAGCTCAACAGCTACTTGCTTCAACTGTTTAAGCTCTGCTTTTTTTCCCCCCCAGGATGTCATCCATTGCCTTAGTCCTTTGTGAGGAAAGAAGATTGTGCAGGGACAACCAACAATGTAAGGCAAAAGATCTAAAAATGGAGGAGCAAATTTGTTGTATCCTCTGCCCAGAAATCATGGTTTTGTGCAAAACACCTTTAAGCCCTCCTAATCTGATCAGAAGACAACCTGAAAAACAGAGTTTGAAGCAGGGGACTGGGAGTCAGGACCCCAAAAATCATGACTGTCAATTTGATTAATAACTTTAGGCAAGTCACTTAAGACCCAGTCCTGCTCCAACTTTCATCAGTGGTAAGGTGGGCCCTTAACCTCTTTACCTCTCTGCATCCAAGCATAAAATACCTACCTTACTGACTACTATGATTTATTGATTTTCATATTTGTAAATCACTTAGAGCTTCAAATTAAAGGCACTACAGAAAACGTGACTGACATTTGTATAAACTTAACACCAAGCTCAAACATCCAATCAGTGTACAAATTTATTTAAAAATCAAAACTCAGAGGTACAAACTAAATATCAGAACCAATAAATTCATACATGTAAACAATCATAGAAAATATACAAATTGTACCAGTTTAACCACTCAACATTCTTCACAGAAAATAGTGAGAAGTATAAAGACAAATCAAGGCCTAATTGTTGTTTTTTAAGACTAGGTTAGAGGTAGAATACTACTGTGAAAAATTCAAACTTAAAATTAATTTCAGAGAAATTACACTAAGGGTGAATTTGGCCCACTGAATTTATATGTAATGAAGCCATAGAGTAGTCTCCTATATCACTATTTACATCTATTAGTTCTGTAAGTTAAGATTTAGTATGGCACTTATTCACGGTTAAAGCACCTCTTATTGTAATACTATTAAATAGTTTATAAGAGTTAAGTGTCTAAAGTCCTTTACTTTTTGCTGAAGTGATGTGAACACTTAAGATAGCATAAGTCTTGGCCACCAAGACAAACCATGGGACCAAAAAATGTTGTGTGAAAAACTTCTGAGAAAGTTACAGTAGGAAAATGGTCTATTAAAATATTTTTGAAAATGCTTCACTATAAGTTTACTTAATTGAGTGGCACAATCCTCAAGGAAAAAATAAATAGAAGTGTCTCCTTTCCACTAGTTAAAGCAGAGGAACTGACCGGCTTTATACTGCATTTTCATTCAAGTCATCTCCATTTCAAATTAGACATATTTTCAACTCAAAATGAACTAAAGTAGACTCAGAGGAACACATCTTCCATTTCTTGAGTTTGGCCAGTTCCCCAAACAATCTGCCACAAGTGGCAATAAGGCTTGGAGTTCTATAGATAGTGTACAAAAAGGTCACAAAAGTCAATATACCTAAAATAATATAATCATGAACAACTTGCAAGCTCAATGGCATTCTATATTATTCAGAAAAATGAGCTTATTTGCATACATACACACAGATTGGCTGATAAGTACATTTTCTTATTAGATGTAGCATGCATGTTATGGGGTCTCCTAGAAATAAATATAAAAAAGTTATTACACTTGCACCATTTAACTTATCAAGGGCTTCCACAGCTATTTGTCCAGCGATACTTATGTTTTAGAATGATCAAACCAAACTTGTAATCTTAATGTTTTCCCTGCACTGTGAGAAAAGCATTTCTGTAACAACGATAAATCTAGGGTGGGATTTGCAAGAGCACTCAGTGTAAGCCTAACTCTGCTTCCTTTGAAGTGAATGAGAGCGGTGTTAGACCACTGCTTCATGCTTTTGGAAAGCTCTCCCTTAGAGCGCTCATTCATTTTGTTTACCAAACAGCATAAAGGGTGGGGAGATGTAGAGGACAGATTAGTCACCACTCAAGTATCTACAGCAACAGATTCTAAATTCATTATATACTCAGAACTCCCATTGATTTCACTATTTCATCATGCTGTTTGCTATTTTTCAGCTTTATCTTTCATTATCTCTTTTCCTTTCCATATTTAAGGTATTATTTAGCCTTTTATTTCATGCTGCTCAACACAATACTTTTGCTTATGTACAACTAATTACTTCTAATCCTGCAAAAGTTATTAATCCAAATCTTTCTCTGACATTTAAATATGCTAAATTTAGGCAATTTATTTTCTACACATGCAAGATATACCGCACAACAACAGAAGAGATATTTTGTGCTTCAAAGCTTTTGAAAAAGTAACAAGATACAGCTGAATATTATAAGTTGGTATATATTTTGCTAAATCTTCACAAAATGAAAGATTTTTGGATATTATATAGAGAGTTGGATGTACAGGTTACAAGTAACAGTTGATATAGATATCAGGTAAAATAAAAGTCTTTGTGCATTTGTGTTTGCAAGTCCTACGACTACAGGGAATACTATGAACTTCTATGGCTTCCATGGAAAATTAGTTTTATGAAGGTATTACCTTTTGGCACTTACACAACATATGTTGACTCTTCTCAGCTTAGTTCCTGGCAGCAAATGAGGCACTTTTATATAAAATAGCAAAATTAAAGTCTTCAGTAATTGATACTGTTCTTATCCAAAGAAATTAAATTTTCAACATGAGATCTATTACACTCTCATTCTGTCACTAGAGTGAGAACTTAATGATTCCTTTCAACATTTGGCAACTGTTTTGTGTACAGCAGAGAAATCCTCTCACACTTAATGGAATGCTCCAAGTCCCTTTAAAGAGATACCTGAGAGTTCCACACCAGATTGATACAAAATCACCAGCCCCCCTAAGGGTCCCATCCTAAAAGAGGTGGAGATCCCCAACAGCCATTGATTTCAATGGAAGTAGAGAACTCACATCTCCTTAGATCATCTAAATGCCAACTCAGTTACACTACAGATATGTTTTAACTAGCATTAGGTGGCAAGATGTATATTTAATATATTTCAACCTCAATTATCTAAATATTCTCGTTATTCAAAACAGTCAAGTGCCCTAGCTTCTTAATTACAACAAGAATTCCCAGATTACCCAATATGTATATAACATCCCCATGACTTCTAGAAAAAAAGAAGGTTGTACTATATATAAAGATAAGCTTTATTCTTTCAAGGTGAAGTTCACGCCTGTGCACTGGGCTGGTAAAAGGCCCATACACTACTTGAGTTCCACTTCAGCTCTATTTTGGGGACTTAAGTGGTTCAGTGGCTTTCTGCCAACTGTCTGCACAGGGATGAATTCCATCCTTAGGACCTAATAGGGACTGGGAATCAAGACTTTTAAAAAATAATAATCTCCAGAATTTAATAGGGTGACATGTTTGGAAAAATCACTTTATATTTGAAGGAGCAATAGCTGACCTTGTGAAAATTATCTTTGTTCATGCGATTAGTTGCACTGACCTCAGAGAAATTCACACACATAATTCAAAGAGCATTATTATCTGGAGGTTCAGCCTCACAGTGCGTTTGCTGATTTTTTTTATTTTACTGTTGACCTTTCCAAATTACATGGCACAATAATTTTCTATTGCTACTTTTGTGCCATACTGAAGATTATTTTATTTCCCTGAACAAGGTATAACAGGATAAAGTGGGGTTTGCATTATGCCTAACTGCCATTTATACTTTATCTGCTGTCACCGCTTCCCCAGAGTTTAAAAGGAAGGTGAAGCAAAACTAAATCAGCACATTGAGACACACACGTTTACAATTAATTAAAACCAATTAGTGTCAAATGTTTAATGCTCCTTTACATGGGAAAAAAACAACTAAGGGGCAGGAAACAGTTTCAACTCATGGAATTTCCTTCTAATATTTACACCTGAGATACCAGCAGATAACAGGGCCATCTCCGTGGAGGTTCAATACTTCTAATTAGGTAATCAGGCCTCTATTTTAATCACACCAGTATGGCTCCCTCCAAAACTATGTTTTCATCTTGTTCCTACCACACATGGCTGCGGTTCACTTGGCAGAGAGGGACACTGCATATGCTTATGTTACTAGGTCCTTTTGGAGCCCTAACTCACGAAATACTGCCATTGACCCTACCATGAGTCTTACCTGAGAAAGGACAGTACGATTGGGCCGAACGGGAGACAAGGGTCAAGACTTGTTTTAAAGATGCATCCCTAAAGTTTGACTCTCCTAAGTCCATATTTAGGCTTCTAAATAAATGGCCTATTTTCAAAGGTTCAGAGCACCCAGGAGCTTCAATTGTCTTAAAAAAAAAAAAAAAAAGACCTAAAAGAATCTTGTTTTTCTGTGGATGCAGCTGTCTGTGGCCTACTGCCCCATCACTTGCAACTTGTCCTGTCAGTGACTTGGGATTCAAGTTTTAGAGCACTTATTTTTGAAAATCTTGACAGATACCTAAGTTCGGGTCCACAGAAGCTCTATTAAGTGATCTCTGTTGTCCTGTTTCCTGTCAGTTTATACCAATACATGCAGAGATAGTCTTCATTCTTCCTCTATTCCTGTCTTTTCCCATGCTGTTTCCTTATTTGCACAGAACATGAACTTAAGCTCGGACTTTTAGGAAAAATAAAAACTTACTAAAGCTTATCTACTTTAGCTGAATTGAGCCAATAGGAAAATCATAATCCTTTGAATTATAATTTATGAAAAGCAGTTATTAAGCTACAAGAGTCATTCAGAAATAAAGTGCATTACGTCCACCACAGAGAACTTTGCTCATTTCAGTTTAGCATAGTTAACATCAACATTCAATAAATATGCATTTTAGCATAGTTAGCATCAACATTCAAGATGCTATTAAAAGTTAAGCCTTTCCGGTAAAATGGGTTTGGGAATCCAGAATAGAATATATGAAAAGAATACAAATTCTGTATAAATGGCAAAAAAAAGTTAACTGTATTCCCTAATTTTCCATGGAGCTAAGCCCACTACACAGCTATGCCAACATGCAGCTCCTGAAATGAAGCATCACATTCTGTTTGCTTCCCTTCCACTACTCCTGAATTCAATTTGTAACTTTCTGGTGTCGGATTAATTTCATTTTGTGCAGGTGAAGGTACATCTTGAGAGACATTTACAGAAACAGAGTCTGACAAAGAATCCTGTTTTTCTGCTGATGCAGCTGTCTGTGGCCTACTCCTTTCTGTCCCATCACTCCAATTTGTCCTGTCATCAGCCTCTTCGAGCTGCTGAACTGACTTCAAGTATTGTTGGAGAAGACTACTGTCCTGCTCACTATTTGAGCTCTCTTGACTCCATTCCTCATGGTCTGCCTGGACACCCTCTGTATCTGAAATACATTCTGAGACAGGATCTCCACACAGTTTGCCTGTTTCTATAGAATTCCCAATCAGAGAGCTCTCATTTCCTTCTGTGGAACTCTTTTCAGAGCCATGAGAGTCATTAACATGAGTTTGGTCAGTTATAGAGGAGTGAAAGCCAGAATCTGGGAACTCAGGTAAAGTTTTCTCATGAAGAGCTTCAGTAGCTGAAACCAACCAGGTAGAACTACCAACAGGAGAGTTTTCTTGATTGAGCCCAGATGACTGGACAGATAGTTTGGATGGACACAAAGTACTTGATGCAGAAGCACCAAGCTGCCAAGTGCTAAGGTTTTGGTTCACTGAAAGTTGCCACTGCTGAAGGGATCTAACCTGTAAACCATAGGGAAAAAAAGATTTCATGATGGAATAACATACTTTGCTTCTTAAGAATGTTTTGTAAATTGGCAGTCAATCTAATATTCAATGTAAGATACAAGGACTAAATAAAAAGTAAGTGCACTTTGCCTCAAAGAAGGGAAAGATGAACTTCCCACTGTTGAACAGAAGAGGGGAGGGGACGGGATGAAAGGGAAAAGAAGCAAAACCACTGAGGAAGATTTTAAGAAGGGACAAGACATGTTTAAAAGAATATAAAGGTTTCACTTTCCTGGTACTACAACTACAGAAGTACCCAACTCTTTGAAAGAGGTCCACCTATAAGATGTAGCATCAACCTTTCAGAGTTAGAATTTAGTTAAAGAACAATTAGTATGGCTTCATAGTCTTAAGTCACTCAGAGAATAATCTGGCAATAGCCAGTTATTCTTTCACTAAGCCCAATGTGGATTTCTACACGCATTTTCAAACTGCTAGCGGCAGACAATATAGCCATTAACAGAACTTTCTAGTAAGGGATCCACCATGCCAAGTCAGTTTTGTTTCCCATTTTCGCCCACTTGACTCATTTACCTTCTTCTGTATTTTCTCCTTACTTCTATTCTAAACTCACTTTTAGTTATTAGAACATATTTAAGTTTCTAATGTTGCAGACAGTTCTGCGTACTTTTTCTAGAGTTCTAATGGCAGGCAATATAGCCAATTAGCAGATAACCTTCTAGTAATGCATCTAGCATGCAAGGTCAGTTTTGCAAGGATGAGCTATACTTTTCATACTTAAAAAGAATATGTATTTAGAAGCATGCTTTTTAGTTAATCTTTAAATAGGAAAAAGAGGGAGAGAGAAAGAAAGAGGCTTACCTGGTTCCAAAGGTATCTGACAGCCTCCTCTTGTACAAGTTTTTGAATCCTCTCTTCTTCTCTTTCTTTTCTTAATCTACACACACACACGACCAAGATATTTCATTTTAAATACTGAAATAAAGCAGTGGTTTTTTTGGTTGAAAATACCAGTACATTTGTATAAATGTATAATTTTATATGAAGCTATTCTTGATAGATACTACTGGGCAAACATTTAAATATTGCAACTTGACTTATCAGCATCCTTTAGCTGCTGAACAGACTTCAAATACTGTTGGAGAAAACTACTATCCTGCTCACCATTAAAGCTTTTTGTACTCCATTCTCCATGGTCTACTGAACATCCTTTGTATCTGAAGGACACAGGGTCCTCATACTGTTTAACTGTTTCTATAGAACTCCTTATCAGAGAGCTCTCACTTATCAGAGAGCTACTCTTTTCACAGCTTTCAGAGTAGCAGCCGTGTTAGTCTGTATCCGCAAAAAGAAAAGGAGGACTTGTAGCACCTTAGAGACTAACAAATTTATTTGAGCAAATAAATTTGTTAGTCTCTAAGGTGCCACAAGTCCTCCTCTTCTTTTCACAGACACATCCATCATTTTGGTCAGTCATGGAAAAAAGTGAAACCCACTGTGGGTTTCTACACACATTTTTCAAACTGCTAGTGACAAACAATACAGCTATTAGCAGACAACTTTCTAGTAAGGGATCCACCAGGCCAGGTCAATTTTGCTTCCCATCAGCTTTAAGACATGGGTAATTACAAACAAACGACTGTGAAGTGTTTCTCTTCTGTAAAGTACCACTGAAAGTGGCATTATGAGGTCGTATTTTATTGTGTCTCATTGGTTTTGTATAAAGTTTGCTCACTTTATCCAATGCTTTTCTAACTTCTAGCTCCATAACTCAAACTGAGCTCCAAGAGCCAAGCTGAGATATTTCCCTTTTCATGCATCAACATCAGTAATAAAGGTTCTGCATGAACCTCTTCAAACCCAACCATAGGTTAATGGATTGCACCTATATAACCATAGGCATCATCTGAAAGCAATGGGATTTCACAGGTGTCACTGAGGGCTTAATTTGACTCACAGAATCTTTATTACTTGTAATGAGATAGAATGATCCTAGATCTTCACTCAGATCCCAGGTTGAGTCTGCAGGGCTGACAAAATAATCTTGTAAACTGAGCAACTTTGAGATGAAATCATACAAACGTTGGACTCCTATGATGCCTTGTTACATAGCCACTTTTCAGAGAAGAACCTCATATTAAAAACAAATACCCCAAACACTGATTTACTGTGATCTCAGCATGGATCCTGGACGACCATCTTTCACATTCAGAACCACTGAACTTCAAGAGAATGTCAAAGTATAGTTGCTTTATGCTCCCTTATTTTGCCTTAATATTAGAGTCTATTGTCCTGAGTGTGGGAGGATGAAGAAGAGAGAAAATTTCCCTTTAACCAAACGCGTGTAGATAGAGCTATAGAGTGAAGAGAGGGGAGTTACATACATGCTGATAAGGGAGACGGAAGAGAAAGCTGACTCCTGCTGTGATCATAGTAGTTCTGTGTTAGCATACAAAAGAACTACTGTGCATAGAGTCACAGCCATAGAAATAGTTCCATAAGCCAAGATAATTTTATACTCATTCTGAAATGCATTAGAACAAGTTATTTTTTCTGTTCTAATTACATTAATTCAGTTTTGAGACTAAGAACATAAAATAAGACTTCTGACTTACTTTCTTACTTCATCAGTTAAGAAAACAATATGCTCTTGCATTCTGCTTAGCCGAATTTCGTAACGCACTTCCTTGGCTCTGGGATGGTAGTTTCTTGTGTGGAATCCCCTCCAACAGGCTTGAAGCTTGGTGGCCGCTTTGTTCATTCTTTGAAGTTCAGCATCTTGGTCAACAGCAGCTGATGCATCAGTAGAATTTCTCTCTATAGTTTGCTCAGTATAAAGATTTTTAATTAATGGTTCATCAGTTAATGGTGGCTTGAGGTGGCTGCACAGAACTTGGTCAACAGATGATGCGAAACAGTCATTAATACTCGCAATTGGGTTAGCAGTGACTGTTGCTGGACTAGGGGAAGGCAATATTCCATCCTCATTATCTTCCTCTTGAGTTTCCACAATTTCTGCTGTTTTGATGGAACACTCATTTGTAACCCAAGAAGTCTTTTCCTGCTTATCATCCTCATCTTTATTGACCTCCTTCACAAATACAATCACTGTATTATCATCTTCTTCTAGGTTCAAATTGATTCCATGTAGCCTTAATTCTGTAGTGGGAGATACTGGAGACAGTCCTGAAGCTACTGGCATAAAAGTAGACTCTGAGGACAGAAGGCTGCAGTTCAGTTTGTCCTCATCAGTCTGTATGTCCTCCAGGTACAGCTCATTGTGACAGCTTCTTTCAGCTTGCACTGAAGCCGGAAAGACATTCTTAACTGCATAGGAATGGTCATCACTGGAGCCTGGCCCAACCCAAGAATTCCTTTGGATAACAGGTTCTAGATGACCAGAAAGCCAAATTTAGACTACACAGTATTTAAATATATAATTTGTTTATTTAAATCAATAGGTATTTATTTATTTAAATCAACCCAAGTACTTACTGAATAATAATAGTATCTGAAGTGCTAACAATGGCAATCATATGATTATTTAACATAGATATTGCAGTAGCATTTGGGAACCCCATTATATGCCAGGGTGCTGTATACTATACAAAAACAGTAAGAAATTGTCCCTCCAAAGAAGAAATGTCTAACAAGACAGAACAGTCAAAAAGTAGTAGGCACATAACGGAAGTAATGAGTTAATAGAAGGTATTATTATTAGTTACTTATTAATCTCATTAGTGACTGTTTTCAAGATCTGAATAAGTGATGAAAGTGGTATTAGACAACAAAGTATATCAATACGTGTATTACTTAAGTTAAAAACAATCCAAACAAATACAATAAAGATCTGAAGGATCTGTTCCAGAGTGGGACTACATTGCCAATTTTCCCTTCACAAAAGTTATTTGTGTGCAAACAGCTATTTTGTTCATTTCCACAGTGAACAGTAGCTCACAGTAGCAGATTTGGATCTTACCACTTTCAGGAATTATCTGGGGCCTTTGGGTTGGACTGTTGTGTTCATACGTAGCAGGCACTGCTTTGTTGGGAATAGAGGATGTAGGCAGCCCTTCATTTTGGCTTTGGTACATCAACTGCTTCTGGTGGAGCCTAAACAGAAACAAAATCCCAGTAATTTTAAAATCTCTCTCTAGTGGTGCAGAAGGGAACTACCAGCTATTCTGTGGGAAAAAAATTGGTTAAACCATTCTAAAACAAGGGGCTGACTGTACAAATCCTTACACATACAAGAAGTTTCACTGAAGCCACCTTACAACAGTTAGGGCTCGCAAGACCTGGTCCTAAATTGTCAAAATTAATTAGATTATCCTTAAAACCCCTCAGTTGAATAGAACAGTACTTTCTAAGTGCCATCAATAGTTCAAGCTAAAATGTCCTTACCTCTGCTTATTCAGTATTTTTTCCAGTTTGGCATCCTCTTCAGTCTGGAGACCAAATGTAGCGGTAAGAGGACAAACAGTGGCCAGATACTGGACTAACTGAACATGCTGGCCAGGTCGATATGATCGTCCTTTACCTTGACTGTAAAGCCATTCTGCTTTCAAACTGGGGGGAGAAAACGCACAGTCATTGTCTTGGCATAAAATCATAGTTGTATACAAGTCATTTTCTTATTGCTAAGCTCTCTTTGTAACTTTTCTTTTACTGTATGCCTTTGCCATATAAATGCAAAGCATGTTCTCCTGCACAAAGGCCAAAGAAACTGGGATCTTCAGAGGAGCTGATGGATAAGAATCCCTCACAAAAAAAAAAAAAAAAAGAGGCTGTGAAGTAGAAGATCTATTCTGCAACTGATATTCTAGTCTGCGGGCTGGCAATGCTCTTCACCTATCCATTCTCTGTTCAATTTTTTAAATTTATTCACTTCACCTGTGTTTATGGCCCTTTTTGTAGTCTATAAACATATGGATGAATGAGTTTATTAGCAGGAATGTTCACTGAAAAACTTTATAAGCATATACTGCAGAATATTCACAGAAAGTACACAGTGAATTTTAAATTGTGAGTATTCACACTGTAAACCTTATAAGAGTTATGCTCATCCAGTCAGGGAGCAGTAATATACCGACAGATACACACCATGTCCAGAATATCTATTCACAATTAAATGAATCATGACAAAGCAGAGACTGAGTATTTTTTCCTCTAAACTCGAAACATATAGTAGCAAACAAACAAAGACAGAATGGATAAGTACAGTTGATCCGGAGATACATTTCCACTCACACAAAAATAATATACTACTTCACTTTATCCAGACATATGAACCAATTTAAAAAGAGCAATTAAAAAAATTATTTCACCTCTCTTTCTGAGAAATCACATATCCATCCAGAACTTTAAGATTCAGACACCAGCTGACAATATATGGCCGATAGTCAAATCCAGGAATAGAAGGTGTGGCCATCACACAAGGGTTGTTCATAATTGACAATTGCTCCAACTCAGGAAAGGAAGCCAAGAAAGAAATCTGTAACAAATGATGTCTTTGTTGACAGAAGAGAACTACTCCATGTTTATAAAACGTAATGCATTTCCATTGGTTAGACATCTTGGGCAGAGTACCAGCATTATAGATGCGGTAACTTTTACTTGCAACACATACACTACTTCAAAAAAAGAAAGAAATACTAACAATACTGTGAACACCACTGTCATGTAACCATCCACTTTCCTGTAACACAGCAACTCCCATGGCCTTTGGAAAGAATCACCTCCTTTCAGTGCCCGGATAGGTATAGTATGATTAAATATTTGTGTTATTCTGCATCAGCACAGGAGAGAAGAATGTTTTATGATGGTCAGGCCAATCAGTAGAAAAGATGGACTGTGACCATGTGATCCTAAGGAAAAGGACGGAGGAACGTAAATCCGACCAAATTAAGGGGTCCCTCCAATACGAAGGCTATGCTGACAATTTGGCAGGAGCAACTACTTATTTATATAATTTTTAAAATAAAACAAACAACAACAACAAACAACTATAGCCAGACTATTTGCCATCTGCTTCATGGTAAAAGAACAGAACAGAGATGGGCCCAAACCAAAACTATGAATACAAAATTTAGGAAAAGTTTGGGTCCAGGCTGTGCACTTCAGACCTATCCTTTTGAGAACAGAAATTGTTTGTTGGATTTCTCAGCTGTGAAAGCCAGCAGCTGGTCAGATTTGTTCTCACTCTGTAGATACAGGAAGAAAAGCCAGGAGAGGTTATTTTATCAATTTGTAGGCAACATCTCGCCCTTGGACTGGACTTTTGGGATCTTTGAGCAATTAAACAAGGAAGGGGAAAAATGACAGCTGAAAGTTAAAACTTCCATCCCAACACATTTCTTTTTGGTTTTAAGGAAAACATCCAAACCAGAGGATCAGCTGGTTCGTGCAGTAGTTCACTGCATGAATCTTTACTACAGAAACAAATGAGTACAAATAAACTCCAGTAGTCTAGCATATTTGGAGAAAGCAAAGCCAATTTTACATACATTCTTGATACTTTGCTCTCAAAAGAACTATCCTTTTTTATTGTAAGTAAAAATTTGAGGATAAATATTCCACATTCTTACCTCGTTCAAGTCTCTGATTTCATTTTCTGCTAAAGAGAGAATAATCAGACTTTGAGGCAGGCAAACAGGTGCCATACGAAGTGAGGTTATAATATTTCCATGCAGCAGCAGAGTCTATGAAACAAAAAATATTGTAATGAAATGTATGCTTTTTTTTGTCAAAACATGAACGTTGTGAACAGTGATAGCTGCAGAACACACACACAGTGAAATGACAATGTAAAGATTTGCCAGTGTTTGCAAAGAGATTATTGGTTGTTATAGTCAGGGAAATAGCAATACCTTGATAAAACCTCACATTTAAAAGCAAAATTTCCCTTTATAAAATGTACGGTTTTAAAGTTTCTAACTACCGATATTTTTAAAAGTACATTTGGAAACGTATCTTTCTCCTATGCAGATAGTTCAGTGCAAAAGAGGTAGCAGAACTTGCTTTGTTCCGATCCAGTACTTAAGAGGAGGAGGAGTAGTTTATTCTGAGGGCAGGTCTATACTACCGAGGGGATTGACGCTCTGAGATCAATCCACCAGCGATCGGTTTAGCGAGTCTAGTAAAGACCCACCAAATTGACTGCAGATCGCTCTCCAGTCGATCCCTGTACTCTACCCATGACGAGAAAAGTAAGGTAAGTCGACGGGAGATTTTCTTCCGTCGACCCCTCACGGTGTAGACCCCACAGTAACTCGACCTAAGGTACGTCGACGCCAGCTACGTTGGGGGAGGAGGGATTTGAGCATTGACCTGCTAAACCCAGGGTTGTGAGTTCAATCCTTGAGGGGGCCATTAAGGGATCTGGGACAAAAATTGGGGATTGGTCCTGCTTTGAGCAGGAGGTTGGACTTGATGATCTCCTGAGGTCCCTTTCAACCCTGATATTCTAGGAGTTACTGCAGTAGTGTAGACATAGCCTGAGAAGAGAACTGGGAGCCAGGAACTTAAGTTCTCACCACTACTCTCATACCAATTCACTATGTGGCCTGGGACAAAAATTAAAGATTGATCACAAGTGAATCACAAATGCTCTGCCTCAATCTCTTCATCTTTAAAATGGGGATAATAAATTTTTACATACCTCTGTAGTACAGCAATTATGGTGATTAATTAAAATGCTTTTAAAAGTGAATGGATAATGAAAAATGCTATCTGCTTAGAGTTACTGTCACAACTGTTTTTTGCAAAGAATAGTCCAAAGACAGAAAGGTAAGGAAGCATTTACCTTTAGAGACAAAAGCTTGGAGAGATCTCCTATTTGAGGTATATTGTTGTCTGACAAATCAAGATGTTGAAGAGATGTGCAGCTATTGATCTGATCTATGGTCTACAACAAGAGAAATAATCATATTAGTTACTCTAAGACTTTCTTTTTCTATTAAATAAAAGTTGATATCAACATTCTGCAATCTTTTCTGAAGCCAATTAGACTGGACAGACTGTACCATTTCAAAACTACATTATTAATATAACTATATTAAAAATGAGATTATTAAGTTTAGTATCTAACCTGCATGTCAAAAGATTACCCAAATCCCTTTATATTTTGGGATTCAGTTATTTAGGTCAGTTTTTCTAGGAGATCCCTTACACAAATACTACCTTTCTCCCCTTCAGAGACTGGAGAGACACAAACGATCCCATTAAAGTGAATGGGAATTTAGTGGGCACAAAAATGGAACAGAATCAGGCTATGCTGGGATGTTTTTTCAGTATTTTCCAATTTACCCACTACCGTCGGAAATACAGATTTCAGAAAACGTACAAAGAATAAATATTTCACCTTAAGGTTATTTCCTGCCAGGTTTAGCCACTCCAAGTGCACCAGATCCTTCAGCCCTTCCACATAACCAATACTGTTGTGAGGCAAGTTTAATACCCGGAGCTGCGTCAGTTTTGCCACACCCATCATCCTTACAAGTCGATTGTTGGCTACAGATAGCTGTAGATTGAATATAAGAAATGTTTTATATTTACTATCAAAGCGTATGAACAACACAGCCTATCAGAGATCTTGCTCTGATTTAACAGCTAAATATCCAATCCAGCAAAAATACTATGAATCTAGATTTTCCATTTTCACACAAAAGGATAAGGTGGACAAGACAAATTGCAGAACTATACAGACTCTTTCTTCATCAAACTCTTAAAATCTCATACAACAAACTGGGACAAATTCACCTGGGCTTTTACCTGCTGAAACCAAAGAAACTGAAACCTAGAATGAATTTAGTAACTGCTAATCAGTATTTTAAATCAGCTTTGCAAACTCACCATGAAAATGTACTATTCCAGGATCAAAGTCTACTTGCTTATCCCCACCATAGTGGAGAATAAAAAAATAAAATATTTTACACAACTGTTAAAAAATAGTTTTTATCCCCAGAAAAGAGTAATTTTTAATTATGTTTTAAATACAGACCACTTATGATGGCCACTTTCTACTCTAAGAATTTGTCAGCAAGGATTAAGACCCAGGCAAATGTTAATTCTACAGTCAAGAACTCTCAGAAAACTTGAATCCATATTGAAAACACACTTACTGCCCTTTAACCATGGTGAAGCTACCATGCACTGATACCAATATATGCTTTAATATGAAAGCGTCATGAAAAACTGACCTTGTACATATTTTTGATACGTCAACACCAAGTAGTAAAACCGATAATTTCTTCGTTATAGTTACTCTGATACAATAGGACCTGTGATTCAGCTGTGAAAAGGATTAACTACTCTGTTTTTCTACTGTAATTTTAGCCGGAATTGAAATTTACTTGTGTGAACTCCCAGTGCATTTGTAGCTCCAAGCAGGTATAATAAATCTAAATCCTAGTCCATCTCAAATGTAATGTATGGGCTTTAGGAATGATGAATTCCTACATGAACAGTCAAAGCACAAATTAAAACAACATTCTCCTAAGCCAATATTGTGAGCACTGGGCTTGAAAGACTCCTTTCATGTATTAGTTTAGATTCTCCTCTGGAAGCTAATAAGGGAACTCAAAAAGACTGTTATTCATGTCTGGCTGGAAGTACGTCGAATGATAGTTAATGATGGACTTGGACTTGTTAGAGATGTCCTGTGGAGACCAGTGCCCTGATCGTACAAACACGTATGCACGTGTTTAACTTTACTACTATGAATAGCCCTATTCATTTCAACAGACTACTCCTGGGACTAAAGTTAAGCATGGACATTAGTATTTGCAGAATCAAGGCCTAAGTGGCTCAGGGCATTAGTGTCAGAATGTAAAACCATTTAATTTTACAGTTAGTACTTTTGCTTCTTGTATTTTATCCTGTTTTACATTTATTTTTTTCTTCACCTCTACTTGTGTTAATAAATTTTTACACCATATTTCAATTTACCAGTCAATTCATTTTAGCAGTTGTATAATTGTGTAACTTGGAAGTTTACATACGTTAGCACAGGACTCACTTATAACTATGGTCTTACATTTTATGTTGCAAAGGCCTGGCTATTAGACAGATTGCCCTAAAAGTGATATTGGAATTTGTGATAGCAGTAGTTATAAAGGCATGAAAATAAACTAAGTATTTTTCTTTTTAAGCACCAATAAAAAGTTTTTTGACAAAACGGAACAAAGATGAACTATAGGTTAAACTGAAAAGAGTCCTGTTTAAGAGAGTGCAAATGAAAGGAGGACTGCATGGTCTGGTGACAGGGCATAGCACTAACAGTCATGAGATAGGCATCTACATCTAGCTGTGCCAGTGTGTGTGATCTTTTGAGACACTAAACCTCCTAGCACCTCAGCTACACCACATGTAAAATAAGGATAATGATGCACTCTCTTTGTAAACTGCTCTGAAATCCAAGGATGGAAAGTACTATATACATACATATTTATTACACATGGAAAATTTATGTTAAAAGAACATTATTATGGTTGAGTCAAGCATTAAGCATTAAGATTACTTTTGACTTCACTAGGAACTGAGTTCACTCAATATCCGAGTACCAGGCACCAGCATTTTATTAAGACAATGAAATAATTTTTCTCTGAATTATATAGGTAACCAGGGAGACAATTTGTGCTACTATCAGCTGCAGACCTGTACTGGACTGAAAAAAAGTCTCTAATTTTTAGCTATCACCTCGTCCATTCAGAAATATAAGAAGTTGCGTAGTTAGTTTACTATGAAAAAGGAATTTTTTGAGCTCAATTCATTCATTCTTGTGACAGAATTATTTTAACAAGCACAGTGTGGTTAAGTTATTTCATGGCCAACTCGAACCATATAATACTGACCTGCATTAAGTTCCTGCATTTCTCCAGGTGTTCCAGTTTAATTATTTGGTTTTTATCCAGAATTAGAGTATGAACGTCAGCATCACAGGGTAATGTTGGATCCAACTTTTGCAACCCCTGACCTGACCAATTAACTACCGAACCTTGGAGAAAGGGGGGGAAAAAGAAGTAAATTATGAGCACGTGTGCGGCCAATTCGCAAGCAATATAAACAGACTTGTATTCATGACTAGAGAGAAATAACTGAATTCTATCATTTGCATCTCTGAGACTTTGTCAAATGAATATTTCAGACTGAATAAATGAGAAGAAGGGTGACCCAGCGATTAGGACACTACCTTGAGACTTGGGAGTCCATATTCCACCACAGACTTTCCTGTGTGATCTTTGGCAAGTCACTTAGGTTCTGTGCATCTCAGTTCCCCTTCTAAAGCAGCAATAATTCTCTACCTCACAGATATGTAGGGGTATGTAAAACATTCAAGACTGTGATAATAAAGTAACAGGTGCCATATAAGTATCTCAGACTGACAGGTAGCTATAATGGCTCTACAAACAATATTATAATGCTTCAGCCTTGAAAAAATGCTGTGAAAATTTTCCATCCCAGTCACCAAATCTACTCACCATCTTTTACCATGATTCTGGTAATGAAAAATTTAATATAACCCTTGCCTTTCAAAAAATCCGATCACCTTTGTTGTAGTAGTCATAAGAGAAGGTGCCACAAGTACTCCTTTTCTTTTTGCGAGTACAGACTAACACGGCTGCTACTCTGAAAACTGCAAAAAAGGGATCACTATATTTAGTGGAAATAGGAGCTAACAAAGACTTGTAATTCTTTCCCAGCGAGCAATCCCATTAATAGGAAGTCGAGGAGATTCATGACACTACTCTGAATAGCAATAACAAAACAGAGCAGAGTCTTATTAATTTCATTCTGTGGCTTCTTGGGAAAGCTACGAGCAGCAGAAGTGCTGGGGCAGTCTGCACATTCAGGAAAATGACTGCATTGTTTTTTTTATCTGGAAGGTTGTCTATTTACACCAACTTAAGGGGAAGGAGTTTTTTCTTTTAAATGGCTTAAGTCCCAACACAGAGAAATCTTCCCATGTGTCGCTGGAAAGGTTTTCTCCACTCCCCACCCGCTAAACTGGGAGCATGTATACTAGACTGGTTGGAATTTTTTTGACAAAATTTTTTTATTGTTGTTTTTGAAAAATGCTGTTTCATCAAAGCTTTAATGTTTTGAGGAGACACAGATTTCAACAAAGTTTCTGATGGGAAGATTTCTGATCTTCGAGTGGACTTTCTGGGTGGAAACTTGACACAATTCTGTTTCACAAAAAATGTCCAAAAGGTTTTGTTTTCATTCCAATGTGAAACAAAAAATTTCAAAACCTTAAAAGTTGTCACAAAACAGAATAGTTGTTCTCTGGCCAGCTGTAATGCATATTACAACTCTACACAGCATCAAACTAACTTTCCCATAAGGTCCAGAAATCGGGAAATGCTAACTGATGGGCTAACTGTTCCAGATTCCAGCACTGCCTCTAGTGGAAAGCCTGAGCAAACAGTACACAGTAAAAGTATGCAGTGCTTGAGTCCAGATATATTTTGGGCAAGACAAAATTCTAAAAAGTTGAGACCCACCACTTAACTCTGGGGACAGAGTTAAAACATTCCAGATGAAAGCACTTGTCGTAACAGAGCTGAGAAGGAGGGGCAGTCTCCAAAATAAGTGAAACTTAGACCACTAAAGCTTCAGGATCTACAGCTTCCAATTATCTCTTTCAGATATTAGCCCAGCTTAGGAGGAGGTACTGACTGTATCCTATTTACAGCACATGTAAACCACTCTCCCATTCCTACCCACTGCTGGTTCCCCTCCCACCATCAGCTCAGTAGCAGACCATGACCCTCCAGTGTCAAACTCTGTGGTAGTAGGAAACAATCAGTTCTGACAATCAATATAGGTTCTATATGACTACACTCTTATACTCCTGCTGGAAGCATGCTATGGCTAAAAAGAGACTGTTGGTGAAGAACAGTCTTCAAGCACTGAACTGATAGGCTAAATACAAAATTAACAGTTATGTCTGCTGGTCGCTTTCCCAAACAGAATCAGAGTTAACCGCACATTACTTTTGTCAAGTTCACACTTGTCCACAGAATTCTGAATAGCAGCAGTGGCAATGCTACCTACAAAAGCTATAATAGCAATAGAAACATAAAAGCTGTCTGGAAATTCAGGGAAACATGGTATATTTCTTATTTATAAGGTTATCTTTGCAATAAGGCCTACATTTTTAAACAGATAAAACAACTTCTATTTTAGCTCTCTCACTCATGAAGGAAAGCCCCCCAAACAGTGAACAGGATGTTTTAGGAACTGTTTGTTGTTATTTACATACACCTGTGGGACTGGATGTCAGCTGCTTACTTGCAACAGAGCCTCCCCCACACCCGAAACCCAGCCACATCTCGTGGGGTGATTTCAGCACCACTCCGGCAACGGGAAGGTGGATGGCAACCAGTGCTATTGTCTCATGGTCTCTCTCAGCTCACCGTTTGTGGGGGAAGGGAGAAAAGGACAGGTAACTCCCCCCCCTTTCTGACATGACCTGAATGGGGAAGGGACCGACTCGCCTAGCCTAGCCTAGCCTAGCCTCCCCTCCCCCAGTTGCACCCCCATTAATGGGCTCCGCGAGCGACCACAGCCCCCCCTTTAGTTGATCCCTCTGCGCCCCATGCACCAGCACTGTTGTGGGGGGAGCGCAAAGCCCTCTGGAATTTGTAGTCCACTCCCTGAGCTAACACCCAGGCTGTGCCAAGGAAAACACTACAAATCCCATAATGCAACGCGCGACCAACCTACTAAAAGGGTAGGAGAAAAGACACTAAGTAAACCCCTGAGCCCGGCTATCAAGAGTCCCCAGGATCCCTGTAACCCACCCGGCCGGCCCCCAGTGCCCCCGATACCTTCCCTGGCTCCCAGAGCCGACGTAGCCGCCTCGCTCCTTGCCGCCGCCATACTTCCCGCTTGCTAACGACACCAGGCAACCGGGCGCCGCGCGCGCTGATTGGCTGCTTTAAGCCGCGAGGAAAAAAAATAATTTCTGGGTATTTTAGCTGCGAACCCCCTGGACGAGAAGCCCCGCGTCGCCGCCAACGGCCATTTTTAAAGGAGTTGGGAGGGGGGCGGGGGGGAGAGAAACTCCCTCTCGGACTGAAGCCGGGCCGCTGCCTCCCGTGATGCACCGCGCGGCAGGCGTTTCCCAGCGTGCTCTGCGCCGGGTATAGAAGGCAGTTTCCCATGATCCTCTCTTTCTTTTGGCCGCTGGAGTCGTTGGGGCTGGCGGCGCCATCATGAAGTAAGTGCCGCCGCCGGCGAACGGCGAGACCATCCGGCCCCATCCTCCGGGCCGAGCCCCCGCCACGGGGCCGGGCTCCTGCGCGGCGCTAACCCGCTCTGCTTTCTCTCCCCTCCCCTCCCCCGCAGGGTCGAGCTGTGCAGCTTCAGCGGCTACAAGATCTACCCGGGTCACGGCCGCCGCTACGCCCGCACGGACGGCAAGGTGAGGGGCCGGGCTCGGAGCGGGGCCCAGGGCCGGGGGGGTGGGGCCAAGCGCTGCCCTGCGCGGGGTCGTGGCACCGGCTCGAATCCCGCCTGGCTGCTGGATGGAAGCGGCCGGCGGCCCGAGGCCACTGGGTGAACGGGCCGGCCCCGGCTGCCCGAGCGGGGGGGGGCTGCGCGCTGGGGCCTCGTGCCCTGGCCGCCCTGGCGAGGGGTCTGTGGTGCGCCTGGGTCTGGCAGGCAGCGTCCATGCTGTGGCCTGAGTAGTTCACTCGGGGCTGGGAAAGGGGTGGCTTTACGCATCAGGTCTGAAAATCACTAGGCCCTGCCGAAAGTTTTGAATCCCAAGTAGGTTGATTCACCCGTTTGTGCTGCCAAGGCCAATACGCTGAGTGGAAAGGAGTTCGCTGTGTCTGGCTCGCTAAGGTTAAACTTAGAATCATAGAATATCAGGGTTGGAAGGGACCTCAGGAAGTCATCTAGTCCAACCCCCTGCTCAAAGCAGGACCAATCCCCAATTTTGGCCCAGATCCCGAAATGGCCCCCTCAAGGATTGAACTCACAACCCTGGGTTTAGCAGGCCAATGCTCAAACCACTGAGCTATCCCTCCCCCAAACTTCAGACAGATGATCATTTTTTGGAGACTGAAGGTCTTTTGTTTCCCTGTAACCAGTAGGGTTTACCCCACCTCGAGTAGTACAGTAGTGAATCTCACTGCAAACACTGGCCTAAATGTACTGACATTTTTTATCTTGGCGTTATCTCTTTTTCCCTTCTCGCCCCCCAGGTGGGGATGACTTTTTTTTAAAGCATAGATTGTACTACACAATTGGTACCACATCGGCCTGCTTACTCTTGAGAGCATAGCTTGACGTGGTGAACATTATGAGAGGGGGGATTTTGGTGAAATTTTGATGTTAGGCATTCACTATCATGTGATCAAGGATCAGTATTAAAGCATTAATCGTTAGTTTTATCAAAGAACTGCCTGCTTCCAGCTCCTGTGTACTGGGAAGTTGTTTGTACTTAGTGGAGGAGTCAGACATTTAGCTTGATACGCAGTATAACCATCAACTCAAGTCTTGAAATTTGTGTTTAATGTTTATGCTTTCATTGGTCACCCAGTTGCTTAAATGGAAAGCAGGGATATAAGTTGGAGTTTGAATTTCTTTACTTTCAAATATCGTATAGCATTTCCGTGTTATTTCTGCCATGAAAAGACTAGCATGCACATTATCAAACATAAGCCTAGAAAATAGTCTTAATTTGCACTCGGATGCTATGTTCCACAGAAGAATGTTTCTGTACTATAACAGACCATTTTTCTTATTAACAATGTAGAGTTTATTTTAATCTCAAAAGATTTTTAAATATGATGTCATGTACACGTATTTGAATTTTGCTTTAGAAGAGGCCATATTTTAATTAAAAAAAAAAAAGAGTTAAAGACTTTAATGCATCAGTGAGGTGGAAAGGATACCTAACATAAAACGTCATTTGTGGTTGTTGGTATTTTACTAGAAACAAAGTTGCCTTAAAAATATTTGTTCGACTTCCCAGGTTTTCCAGTTTTTGAATGCAAAATGCGAGTCTGCCTTTCTTTCCAAGAGGAACCCTCGTCAGATCAACTGGACTGTTCTGTACAGGCGCAAACACAAGAAAGGGCAGTCTGTAAGTATACTTCATGTGTTGTGACTAATACTACTTTAAACTTTCAAGAATGGTTTCCTGGGTGTCCTGGAAAAATCGATCTAGCTGCCACCAAGAGGTGAAAGTAAGCCGGTACGGCGTACTGGGGTGGATCGGTTTCCCCAGGTGCAATTTAAAGGGCCTGTGGCTTCCAGCAGCAGCTGGAGCCCCCGACCCTTTAAACCGCCGCCAGCTGCCACTGTTACCCTGGGGAGGGGGAAGAAGGCACTTGTTGGTACAGGGTGGGCTGGGGCTGGCTCTGACCCTCCCCAGCCCTTCCTCTTCCGCCTGAGGCCCCCTTTTGGGGGCCGGAGCCAGCCCCAGACCAGCCCCGTACTGGTAAGTCCCTAGACTTACTTTCACCCCTGGCTGCCACTGACAAGCAGGTAAGTGAAAAGTTTCTCTGGATGCCATAGGGAGTCTAAACCATTGAGTTCTGTAAACCTTCATGTTTGTAAAGAGGTTTTTCAAGCCCTCATGACTGTGAAGACATTCCCACACAAACACTATTTCCATGTAGTTCCAATACTTAGACTCGTGGCTTTGCTAATGACAAGCACGTTGAAATAAAGACTGGTAATCTGACGCCATGCCTGCAGTCTTGGGCAGATATTATTATGTTGGTTCACATTTGAAAGGTGGATATTTGTTGAGCACAAACTACAAATGTATGTTTCAGTAGTACCTTGAGGCCTCAGTCAGGGCCATTCTGGGCTAGGCACTGACAAACTGATTAACAGTTCATGACTTAAAAGTTGATTGGCATACAGTGGGGTTCTAGTTAATCCATTGGTGGTAACTTTGATTATTTTGTTTTTGTTTTTCTAAATGTGAAATTTTATAAATGCACTGCTTGTGGTGGTATGGTAAACTGGTTTTAGAATGTTATCTTTGCAAACAGCTGGTATCAAAAATGCTCCCGTCTGAAAATTTTGGCTGTGAAGTTGAAATCTTTGGAGATACAAAAGTATTTTCATCAGGGCTACAGTATGGCATTTCTTCTGTATATATTTCCAGTGGCCTTATTTATGTTCCAGGGGCCTGGGTTTTTAAAGATCATAATCAGTGTTCTGTAAAATCATAGTAAGTTAGGAGGCTTTTTAGCATTTGGCTTGATTGGAACAGAGAAGTATGGCTGGGATATGTCTACAACCAGGGGTTATCAACCTCTTTCTTTCTGAAGCCTCCCCAATATGCTCAAAAAAACTCCACGGCCCATCTGCCACAACTGTTTTTCTGCATATAAAAGCCAGGGCCACTGTTAAGGGGTAGCAAGCAGGGCAATTGCCTGGGGCCCATTCCACAGGGGGCCCTGCAAAGCTAAGGTGCTCAGGCTTTGGCTTCAGTCCTAGGTGGTGGGGCTTGGGGCCCTGGGCTTCAGCCCCTTGTGGTGGGGCTTCAGCTTTCTGCCCTGGGCCTCAGCAAGTCTAATGCAGGCCCTGCCTGCGGCCCCCCAGAAGGCCCCAGACCCCTGGTTGAGAACCACTGGTCTACACTGCTTTCTTTTTTTTTTTTAAAAACCCTTGGGTTAATTCCCCAGGCAGTTGTTCCAGGCAACCCCAGAACAAGAGCAAACCTTTGCATCGTGGAACAAATGCATTGGGAGTGTCCACACTAGCCTTTTCTCAGGGGTTGAGTATCTAAGTTAATGGGCAATCATAAAAGTCTAGTGAAATAAGCCCTTAGCCAGAAACCTCCTAAACTCTCTCTTCACAACTCCAGCAAAAGTCACTGGGGATATGGAGTTAAAGTTATATGCAAGTTTTTAAAATTGAGGCCTGGACATTAAAAGCACAAAAGGTAACAAATGTGCATTTTTGGTATAAGAATTGAAAACGTTCACTAGCACAGTGAGTTATCAAATGAATGCTATTTAGATAAATGGTACTCCTGAGGATTACAGTTAACCTGTTACCAAAACGACACTGTAACAAGACACGCTTTTGATTTCAATTTTTTACACTTAACAGTTTTATTCTTCCTTGCCTGACATAATGTTACGGTTTTTGTACAGCTGTTCTTCACTGTGATCCCTGAGTATCTGCCACTTAAAATAGGGTGGCAGTGTTGAAGTCCCTTGCAGTGTCCAAGCAGCCTCTCTTGATTCTTCTTCCTTTTGGGGTTATAGAAAGCTGTTCTTGAATGTAGGACTTTGGGAAGAGGTCTGGAGAGCAGTGTAGCTGATATTCTGGTATGGAGGGAAAGCTTTTGCCAAAGGGGAAGGTTTTGTAGTATTTCCGAAAGATTCATCTTATGTTTGGAAGTTCATTCCATGACCATTAGAACGAATAAGCTTGATGCAGCTAATTGGCATTCTGTTTCTAGTCAGTCACAGGGAATTTCTGATTAAAAAGTTTAATTTTTAGCTAGCTATTTTCTATACGTTGTAATGGTCTGTGAATTCAGTGACTATTATACTGTTGGATTCTGCACATAAAGTGGAGATAGTGGTTGCCATTAGTCAATATTTGCCAAGACAGTGATTTCCTGTTTGAAGTATCTGAGATACCACAGTAATTCGATAGCTGCAGATAAATTTGGACATCACACCAACCACTTTGCTAATTGCCCCTTGTGGGGTTTTTTGTTTGTATTTTTGTTTGTTTTTGTAGCACTAATTATTTTAAACCTCTCCATTTTAGGAAGAAATACAAAAGAAGCGCACACGCCGTGCAGTCAAGTTCCAGAGGGCTATCACTGGTGCATCTTTGGCTGAAATAATGGCCAAGAGAAATCAGAAGCCTGAAGTGCGAAAGGCCCAGCGGGAACAAGCCATTAGGTGAGAATCTTTAGTCAGTTGCAGCAATCTTCTTAGTATTTCCAAAATTATGGATTATGATTTCCTTTACAAATCCCTAAACTGTGGAAGAGCTCTGTGCTTTGCATGCTGCAGGCTGTTGAAAACAAACTTAGAGAGATTAGCTACTAATTGTTGGGACTGTAAAATAGTAAATCACATAAAATTTGTTAATATTGCTTGAGCTTT